TCCTTGAATTTGATGAGAAAGAAATATAAAGGCACAAAAAATAAAATACAAACAGAATTGAGCATCTACCTCTTCTTTTTTAAAGTTTGTGAAGCATGACGCTTCATTTGATACAAAGAGCACGTATTTATATTATATACTAGCATTGCCCGCGGCTCCGCCCGCGTTCAGATGACCAAAAACCAAATTCTTAGGTTTTACATATTAGTATACTCTTACATTGCAGTTTTTGTATTTTTTCTTAGAAATGAGATATTTTAACGCGGTAAAATGTATCCTATATGTTGATCCGGATAACCAGCTATCACCATACCAAATTTCATGAAAATCCCTCCAGTGGTTTTTCTGTGATGCGGTATCAGATAGACAGACAAAAATTCTAAAAACTATAGATTCTGCCTCTGTATCGATAATAATGTCTATTGCAATAAGATTTTCCAAAAAATATTTAATGTACAGATTCGGCTTAGTTAAAATTTTATTATATGTATAAACTATAGAAGTGCAATGTACACTTAATCTATATCTATACTAGTAATATTATGAATGCGCAAGTTTGCGAGGATGTATTAATGTATGGATGTTTGTTACTCTTCCACGCAAAAACTACTGAATGGATGTTAATGAAACTTTACAATAATATAGCTCATACATCAGAATAACTCATAGGCTAATTATATTCCGGAAAAATTTATGATTCCCGTGGGATTGATTTGTTTTTGTTTGTAGAGGAACCCGAGCGAAGTCGTTGAGTCGCTTGTGATCAAAATATATTGTATCTGTACATTTCGCTCAGTTGCGTTCCTCGGGATATATGGGTTAGGAACGCATAGAAGACAAACATAATTTTGATCAAAGTTTCATCATAATTGGTTGGATGAGTACATCACAATTGCACGCATAGTACAAACATACAAAAAATATATTTGTTTTTATAAATATAAATTACTAGCAAAACCCGCGGCTTCGCTCGCGCTAAAATTACCAAAAAACTAAAAAGGTAGGTTTCATATAAACTTTTATCCCCTATTTTATCTCCTTATAGGTTGAATTTCGAAAAATGCTGAAACACGCATTTATTTAATTATACTGAAGAGCATTAATACTAAGTATCAAGTAATTCTGATAATAAATATTTTTTTTGAATTGTATTATTACGTGTTTTCCCGTGGGAATGAGATAATCTCCCGCGGTAAAAAGTAGCCTATGTCACTCTCCAGCCCTCCAACTATCTCCACACAAAAAATCACGCCAATCCGTCACTCCGTTTCGACGTGAAAGAAGGACAAACAAACAAACACTTTCACATTTATAATATTAAGTATGGAATATGGATTTTTAATTTTCAAAAAAAATATATATATAGTTTTTAGACCTTTTCTGTCGATTGTTATCTGATACTCAATTGTTAATTACAATGAGCAGTGAAATAGATCAAATGTCGTAGATCAAATAATTTAATTCGATTGTTCCATTTATAATAATGTGATAGTGCCTGCCTGCGGCTTTGTCTGTATAATTTATTTATTTTTGTATAATCCTAAAAATCGTAACGTGATGTTAGATCTATATACATGTAATAAAATTGTAACTAAGCCGAATCTGTACATTAAATATTTTTTGGAAAATCTAATTGAAATAGACATTATTATCGATACAGAGGCCGAATCTATAGTTTTTAGGATTTTTATCTGTCTGTCTGTCAGTAAGCGCTTCACAGAAAAACCACGGGAGGGATTTCGATGAAATTTGGTATGGTGATAGCTGGTTATCCGGGTCAACATATAGGAAACTTTTTGTCGCGGGAAAATGCCTCATTTCTGAGTAAAAATACAAAAACTGCAATGTAAGAGTATACTAATATGTAAAACCTAAGAATTTGGTGTTTGGTCATCTGAACGCGGGCGGTGCCGCGGGCAATGCTAGTAGCCTATAATATTCCTCAATAAATGGGAAAAAAATTTGTCAAATCGGACTGCTAGTTTTAGAGATAAACGCGTACAAACAAACAAAAAACAATACACTTTAGCCATACATATATATATATATATATATATATATATATATATATACACATATATATATATAATATAGATAACGGTTAGTATAGAATAGACTCTATATGTACATACATAGGTATAGAAAAGTAGGTACATAGGTGCTTTAAAAAATAAAAAAAAAATGCATATATCCCTTTAGAAATTTCAAAGAATTAAAAAAAAATTCTAAAGAGATTTAATAAGAAAAGTTTGTATAGATATTCTACATTTTTTTAATATAGTTACAGCTTTCAGTTAAAATTGCCCAAATGGGAAGTCCCATGGGGCTCGTTGTTTCTATGCCTATCATAATAAGCTAAATTGGAAACGTATTTAAGTTTGTTGCAATCAACTAAGTTGATATCAAAACGAAGCTTATGGCCGATTTCACCAACGTCATCTAAGTTTAAGGGATCCCCTAAGCATGGTTAGGGGGCTGTTAGGGGACATTTTCTGTTTCGCCCACAGTTAGGGGTCATCTAAATGTTAAAATTCCACCTACATATGAGAAAAGCGTGGCAATACCTATTAAACTTGTAAAACCGTTTACTTTATTGCGTCTCATCTTTACGAAAGCAACTGATCAATGTGCCCGCTGCGGTGCTATGGAAGATTTGGGTGTTGAGCAATATTTGATTTTAGTATTTGAAATGTTGTCAAACGAGAGACTAATGGCCGATTTCACCAACGTCATCTAAGGTTAAGGGATCCCCTAAGCATGGTTAGGGGGCTGTTAGGGGACAGTTTCTGTTTCACCGACAGTTAGGGGTCATCTAAATGTTAAAATGCCACCTAAATATAGGTACTAGAAATACGGGCTCTGACGATGGTAAAACGAAATTTAATTTAGGGGCTAGTTTAGGGGAACTTTTAAGCTAGGGATCCCATACGTAGGTGGTAGCTTATGGGATGTTGGTGAAATCGGACATTATTCTCCTTCACCCGACTTTCCCGAGTTAAAACACCTTAAAAGAAATAAGCAGGAAAAGCCACAAGCAGTAGTTAGTTTTTAATCTACACTAATATTATAAAGAGGCAGAGTCTGTTTGTTTGTTTGATTGTTTCTCAGGAACATCGGATTTGAAAAATTCTTTTCGCATTAGAGAACCCGTTTATCGAGGAAGGCTATAGGCTATATATCATACTAGCGACTCACCCTCGCTTCGCTTGAGTTCGTCCCTAGCTTGCTTCCCAAGACAAACTTTCATCCCCATTTTCACCCCCTTAAGGGATGATTTCCGGGTTCAAAAATATCCTATGTTCTTTCCAGGGTCTCAAACTATCTTCTCACCAAATTTTATCTAAATCGGTTCTGTAGTTCCAGAGATTACCCCCTACAACGTCACAAACTCACAAACTTTACCCCTTTATAATATTAGTATAGATATATAGTCTATCTATTCCATACTATCCGTTAACAACGTACCGTAGGGGCGAACTCGAGCGAAGCGAGAGCGAGTCGCTAGTATTTAGTAGTATATAGATCTTTCAACTAATAGTAATTTAAATTTTTTATCGTTTTTAGGTCATCTCTCATAGAATAAAATACCTAATTACACTATATCGGTCACCTTTAACCTTTTAGAACAATATCGGTCATCAGGCTGGTTACTTCGTTTAGAAGTATTTCTTACTATATAGTTTGATTTTTTATCTATACTAATATTATAAAGAGGTAAAGTTTGTGAGTTTGTGACGTTGTAGGGGGTAATCTCTGTATCTACTGAACCGATTTAGATGAAATTTGGTAAGATAGTTTGAGACCCTGGGAAGGACATAAGATACTATTTATCCAGGAAATCATCCTTTAAAGGGTTTAAAATGGGGATAAGGTTCGTATGGGGAATCAACCTAGGGACGAATCCGAGCAAAGCGAGGGTGAGTCGTTAGTTTTATATATTCTTAAGATTACTGGCGGCTCACTCTCGCTTCGCTCGGGTTCGTCAATAGGTAAGTTTTAAATAGATATAAATAGTTATTAGCTGGCGTTAGCCATATAAATATTAATTTTATTTTCGTAATTTTTCTGATGTTTTAATATTTATTATCCTATTCCGGACTAAAAGAAATACAAAAAATCAAATATGAAAATTGGTCCAGCCGTTTTTAAGTTAATAAATAAATAGTGTAACTAACATAATTTTGTTATATATATATATTTTGTTATATATATATAGATAATTATAATATTTTTTAAGACAAGTTTAAAAACAAAATACCCCTAAAGATCAAGAATCAAAAGTATCCTATATGTCATTTCAGTATATGATCCATCTGCGTACAAAGTTTTATCCAAATTCGTTCAACTGTTTATGAATGAAAGAGACACAAACATTAAAACAATTGCATAAAATCGTCATTTTTTTTTAATTTCCATTTATACCGCGGCGAATAAATAGGTTTCTTATTTCGAGTTGAATTTATGTAATTATCTAAAACTAGCGACTCATCCTCGTTACGCTCGGGTTCATCAGTAGGTTCATTTTAACGTTTATTAGAGATTTCTAAGAGATGAGATATTTTCCCACAGTAAAAAGTATCCTATATGTTGACCCGGATAACCAGCTATCATCATATCAAATTTCATCAAAATCTGTCCAGTGGTTTTCTCGTGATGCGTTCCCAGACAAACAGACAGACAAAAATTCTAAAAACTATAGATTCGGCCTCTGTATCGATAATAATGTCTATTTCAATAAGATTTTCCAAAAAATATTTTATAGACAGATTCGACTCACTTAGAATTTTATTATATGGATAGATAGCTAACGACTAATGCTAGCTTAGATCGTGTGTACTTTTGAATTCAGTCAAAAAAAAAACAAAAAAAAAACAAACATCAAACAGACAGACAGACAAAGAACAACTTATACAGTTACCGTTTTTCTTTTGAGATACGTAACCCAAAAAATGTTATTTAATATTATATTTTTGTTGCAGTGTTGGATAACTGATTTCAAGATGGCGACCTCGGACGTAACTTTTCAAGATGGCGATTTTAAGCATCCGTATTTACTTGCTTTAGTGTAAGTAATTATTTATTTGTTTAATTTTCTCATTAATACATAATAAAACTTATGACTTATTTCCACTTTACTCGGGTTCTATTGCTATTTGATATAACTGAAAAGGCAGTGGTAGCCTAGTGGTAACGTACTCGCTTGAGAATCTGAGTGAAGCGGGTTCAAATCCGGGGTCTCGCACCTCTGATGTTTTACCACTTGTCTTAAGGTGAAGGAGAACATCGTAAGGAAACTTGTAGATATGTCTGAGAATACCTAGCAAGTTTTTAAAAGACATGCTCAGTCCGTCCGCACTTGGACAACGTGGTGGACTGTGGCCTGGTCCCCCTTACATTGAAGGGAGGCCCACGCCCAGTAGTGGGATGTTAAAAAAAAGAGCTGAATACAACTCAAAATACTTGCTGCATGTTTCATGTGTGTATGTTTGTTACTTCTTCAAACTCAAACGGCTGGACCGATTTCGAAGAAATTTAGGATAAAGAATATAAGATGGAATAATACATAGGTTATACAAGTACTAAGTAGTTTATTTTGATTCGATTTCCAAATTGTTATAAGCGTTTTAACACATTTTTGGCGACACCTACAAATCTACTGAGATAAGATAGTGCGTGTACGCAGTCATAGATGCGCGAAATATTTCTTTCTCACTCTAAATTTCTTGTGGGACTACTCCGACGAGTGGTGTTATATTAGAGGTAGAAACCATTGCTTTACATGACCTTTTTCTACACCGGTGTTTATTGTGGAACACAATGTTGAATGTACAGTGTATACCTCTTTCAAGTAATTATTCCTATTAATAAGAATTTTTTGATCATAAAATTTTAGTCATTATGATCGATCCTAATAGTGTATGTATATATTTGAAAAGCACAAACAGATCTATCCCACGGGAACCGTTCATTTATCCGGGATGAAAAGTATCTAAGATGTTGACCGGGGATATAAGGTATCACTATGCAAAATTTCATTTAAATCGGTTCGATAGATTCGGAGATTAGCCCGTACAAACAGACAAACAGACAGAGAAACAAAAAAATGGAAAAAAATCTGGATTTATTCTATTTGTCTTCTTACATCCCCCTGACTCGGTTTTTAGCATTTTTTTTCTATGTACAGACATTCGACCTCTACAGTTTTATTATAGTATATAGATTTTGCGTGGTGGAACTACAAAAATGACCGCCAGTTTTTTTGTACACCTAAAAACGTACGTACATACTAAAAAAATCTGTCATTTATAAGAATGAAGGTCATATTAACCATTCTCGTGCTTTTCTCACTTTTTAAAATCTTCTACTATACATATAATTAAATTGTAACTAAGCCGAATCTGTACATTAAATATTTTTTTGGGAAATCTTATTGAAATAGACATTATTATCGATACAGAAGTTGAATATATAGTTTTTAGATTTTTTTTCTGTCTGTCTGTCTGTGACACTGGACAGATTTTGATGAAATTTGGTATAATAATAGCTGGTTAACCGGGTCAACATATAAGATACGTTTTACTGGTAACAAATCAAATAATTAATAAACTTTCAACAACTACTTTGCGCCGTCCTCTAGGTCACTTTGGGCCATGAACCCTGCCACAGTAGGGTAAATAGTAAAAACGCAAATGCCCGACCCGGGACTCGAACCTTATACGTAATCTCCATGCTACATGCTAGGAACTAGATTAACAAAATAACAGTAATCTGAAGATGACAGATGAATAAATATTGCCATCACGTGTTTGACACGAAAAGGCCTTCGTGTTACGTAATATTTTTTTTTTTTGTGAAATTTCTTGCACGTGAGTGACCGTAACGTGACATAATATTTATTTTTTAAACGATTTGACGAAAGGAGGTTAGTTGTATCTTTTTTTACTAAGTGCTGGCTGACCTCAAAATAGAATATATGCCAAATAAACGAACTTAATTCGTAACAACTTTTTAATTTGCATAATTATGAACAAATCTATTTAGTTTTCTAAGAACTGACAGAGTTTATATAACTATTCAATTTTTAAATTGGATCATGAAACAACTAACAAGTAATAAAAAAAAATATTATAAAAATAAAAAACCCGCCATACACGTGTACATCTCGCGGCAAGAATGCTGGATGATTCATTCTGGATGAAACGGAGACACATCTCCGACTGCATAATACTATATTCCTTCGTCAACTTGTTTTCATCTTTTTAGTATTTTTTTTATTTACAGCTTTTTTTTATTTACAGCTTTTTAGTTTTTGCCAATTAGACATTTATTTTTTATTTATTAAAGTTATATAATATATAAACATACGGAATATATATACATACGGAATATATATACCTAAAAAACCTTTATTTTGATATCCCACTCGATTGGTTTGGATGAATTTTTTTTAAAGACCTAATTGGCGCTTGACATCCGCTTTTTCCTTTACCCCAAATTTTTTACTATTTTTGTATACTTAGCCTTGACACATAGGCTAAGTATATAAAACTTTTTATATACTTACCCTTACACTCGCGTTATCAAGACGAATCTAACGACGTATGAATCATCAAAATTAGCCCGCACGTTTGGTCTCTAGAACGCCACATAAGAACAAACATACATACATACATAGACTTACAAGGACATACGCACCATTCATATAAAAATATTAAATGAAATAATTTTTTTTTTAAGTAAGGTTTATTAAAAGAATTGCAATTAATCTTTCTGTTGAAATATATTTTTTAATAAAAAAAATCTTTATAAATCTATTCCAAAGGCATAATAGCGTAATGTCACAGACACAGAAACTATATTTACACAAAAGAATCACGTGTATGTTCAATTGGCGCGCTGCCATTTCAATGTCACGGGGTCATTCACCCAAAATGGCTGACACGTGTTTTAAGGTAATAAATTAAAAACAACACATTTTAAAACTGTATTTTTTTTTAAATAAATTATAAATAAAAATTATAATAAATTATATATAACGAAATTGTAAAAATGAGTGATGGTGATATCTTCTCAATTATTGCGTGAGAAATCACTAATCAGCGACGCGTTGTCGAATCTCGTCACTTTGGTATTTACTTTTTATCTATCAATACATATAGTAAAATCTTATTGAAATAGTCATTATTATCAATATAGAGGCCGAATCTATAGTTTTTAGAATTTTTTTCTGTCTGTCTGTCTGTGACCTCATCACGAGAAAACCACTGGACAGATTTTGATGAAATTTGGTATGATGATAGCTGGTTATCCGGGTCAACATATAAGATACTTTTTACCGCGGGAAAGTATCTTATTTCTGAGAAAAAATACAAAACTGCAATGTAAGAATTTGTTTTTTGGTCATCTGAACGCGGGCGGAGCCGCGGGCAATGCTAGTAAATAATAATAATTGATAAGTAAGAGTTAATATCTATATAGTTACCTAGATAGGTCTCTATATTATCTATATTACATTGTTATCACCTCCAGGTAAATTTCTAAGAAATTAATTAAATTTCTAAGAAATCTATTGTTAACTGTAACGCCGGCGTGTCCGCGGTCGTTGAGGGAATAAATATGTAACAAAGAATATTAAATATACAATACCACGTGTATCAATTCCCATGTTACATATTATCATTATAAATTAGTATAATGAAGTCGATTTTTCTATCTATATGTTTGTACTGCAGTGGTAGCTCAGTGGTAATGCTTTCTCTTGGGAAATCGAGTGAAGCGGTTCAAATCCCGGGTCTCACACCTTTGATATTTTCATGTGAATCATTTCCAACATGATTACCACTTGTCTTACGGTGAACGAAAACATCGCGAGGAAACCTGCATGTCTGAGAGAACCTAGCAAGTTTTCGAAAGACATGCTCAGTCCGCCCGCACTTGGCCAGCGTGGCCTATGACCTGATCTCCCTCGTATTGAAAGAAGGCCCACGCCCAGCAGTGGGATGTTAAAGCAGGACTGAATAAATAATTATTAAGTTAATATGTAACTTTGAACCGTAGTACTTTATTATGTATCTATACACGTTCATACATAGATAACATAAGATAACACTCTTTAGGTCGTTCTCTGTTCTTTGTTTAACACTTCATGATAACACAATGATTTACACTTCTATATTATGTACTAGCATTGCCCGCGGCTCCGCCCGCGTTCAGATGATCAAAAACCAAATTCATAGGTTTTACATATTAGTACACTCTTACATTGCAGTTTTTGTATTTTTTCATCAAAATCCCTCCAGTAGTTTTTCCGTGATGCGGTAACAGACAGACAGTCAGACAAAAATTCTATAAACTATAGATTCGGCCTCTGTATCGATAATAATGTCCATTTCAATAAGATTTTCCAAAAAAATATTTAATGTACAGATTCGACTTAGTTACAATTTTATTATATGTTATATATAGATGGTAAATATGGGTTTGTCATTTTCCTTACAACGTTTTAAATAAAACTATATATTATAGGTACGTTATAACTTATACCGGTTAGTATAGATTTTTCAGAAATGAGATACCAAATTTCATCAAAATCTGTCCAGTGGTTTTCTCGTGATGCGTACCCAGACAGACAGATAACAATTCTAAAAACTATAGATTCTTCCCCTGCATCCATAATAATGAATACTTCAATAAGATTTTCCAAAAAATATTTAATGTACAGATTCGACTCATTTACAATTTATTATATGTCTACAGTTTTAAAGGGACTAAGGGCCAGATGACCTACTAGCGGCTCACCCACGCTTCGCTCGGGTTCGCCTCTAGGGGAACAAAAATAAACCTATCCCACGGGAATCGAATTTCTGAAATAAAAAGTCTATGTCTCCATCCATATCCTTCAGTACCCATACTCACAAACTTTCAGATTTATGATATTAATACGGATTTTATTGAAATTTAAATGCGTATTATTTTCTAAAATTAAAAAAAAAATACGATTTTTCCTAGTGTATGGTATAATCCTTTAAAAAATAAAGTTGGCAACCCTGTCTTCAATCAATCAATTAAATTCGGTCACTATACTCTGTTCACGTAGTGAACCATGCAAAGTGCTTTCTCTGTCCCACATTACCATACAAACTGATAAGGACAGAAAACTATCTAGCTCCTCCCATTAACCCATGCAACTGGTTTGAAATCATAGGGCTCGTTCATGTTGCTAATGCTTCAGTGAGGAATTATATTAATAATTTGTAATAAAATAAAATCAACATTAAAGTAAAAATTATTGTATTTTTAAATATTTGTATACATTATTTATTAATTTTCACTTTCCGACGTATCACCGTCATCTCCTACATTGATAATAAATCTGGTAACTACACGAGAGACGTCTAAACGGTATGGAATGCAACGACGTACTGATTATGACTTGCATTGTGATCACGGCCTATGGCCTATATGCTATAGCATCTTATCTAAAATCAATCACGTGGAAACGCAAAATCTCAGTGCTTGGTTCATTCGGCGAACACAGTATAGTAAATGTACACTCGGACAAAGCCACAGAAAGTCCCTAATCACTACATAGTATAAAACAAAGTCGCTTTCTCTGTCCCTATATCCCTATGTATGCTTAAATCTTTAAAACTACGCAACGGATTTTGATGCGGTTTTGTTTAATAGATAGAGTGATTCAAGAGGAAGGTTTTAGTATATAATTTGTTAAGTTTTTGTATACATTGGCTAGAATATAACGATATTTGTTGGAGGTGTCGGAAAAAATAAGACGTCTGGGAGCTTTCAACGAAAACGCTGCCTAAACCTTTTGAGATATAACAAAATAATGTATGGTGGAATTGTGTATCTTATATAGGTCTACAGAAAAGTCTGCGATGGTATATGTCTATCTCTTAAATATAACATACTATATCCATTTTAATTTAAAACGTACCTAGGGACGAACCCGAGCGAAGCGGGGGTGAGTCGCTAGTATTATATAACAAATGGACTCAAGTACGTCTGTACATATGTAATCAACCGCGTCCTCGCTCAAGGGTAAGAAATCCCACAAGTATATTATCTGAAGTATGAATAACGTAATTGTTTTAAAAACACTCGTATTTGCTTGGAGATGTACGTATTGATTGTATGGAGTTTTCAAATTGATTTTTTTTTTAAATTTATTACTATAGAATTAAAATTACAAAACATTTAAATTTAAACTTAAACTTGATATTATATGCGAAGATCATGTTCTTAGTAAATAAATACATAAATAAAAAAAATAAATTGTACATAGAACCGTTAGAAAAAACATAAATATAGATAAAATTCTAACGAGTCGAATCTGTACATGAAATATTTTTTTGGAAAATCTTATTCTTTAGTCATTGTTATCGATATAGAGGACGAATGTATAGTTTTTAGATTTTTTTTGTCTGTCTATCTGTGACCGCATTATGGAAAAACCACTGGAGGGATTTTGATTAAGTTTGGGATGATGACAGCGAGTTATCCGGGTCAATATATAGGATACTTTTTACTGCGGTAAAGTATCTCATCTCTGAGAAATCTATATAGATAAATAAAATTGAAGTGTCTGTTTGTAATATCAAAATAACAGCTTTTTACTAAATGCATATAGATGTATACACGGTACATATACCAAAACAACATTTCTTATTTTTTTTGAAATATTTGAAATGGCTGGACCAATTTTGACGGGACTTTCACTGTCAGATAGCTGTAATAAGGAGTAACTTAGGCTACTTTTATTTTAGAAAAAAAAATAGGATCCCACGAAAAAAAATTTAAAACCAATGAAAATTTTTATAATATTCGATTCAAATAGGGAAGTTGTATACATACGCTAGGGACGAACCCGAGCGAATCGAGGGTAAATCGCTAGTGTATACTAAACGTTTAAACGTAAGTAGGGACGAACCCGAACGGAGCGAGGGTGAGTCGATAGTCGATATATAAAATTTGATAACTTAATTATAAATGAAGATAAAGTCTAAAGGGGCAGGTACACAGAGTATCAAGTTTACTAACAAACACACAACCTCCCATCTCGGAAATAGGTACAGCCGTAACGTGCTCGAACACGCGGACCGTATAAAAAGCAATCTCGTCCAATTGAAACCTATTACGATTATCCTATTTATACCCAGTTGTTACTCTCCAAGAGATCACAAGTTCAATTTCATGCATTTCTTAATGGTGTCATTTATATCTAGCACTAGCTGTGCCTCGCGGTTTTACATATTAGTATAGTACTCTTACAATGCAGTTTTTGTATTTTTTTCTCAGAAAAGAGACATTTTCCCGCGGTAAAAAGTATCCTAAATGTTGACCCGGATAACCAGCTATCACCATACCAAGTTTTATCAAAATCGCTCCAGTGGTTTTTGTGTGATGCGGTAACAGACAGACAGACAAAGATTCTAAAAACTAGATTCGGTCTCTATATCGATAATAATGACTATTTCAATAAGATTTTCCAAAAAATATTTAATGTACAGATTCGACTCATTTAGAATTTTATTATACGTATAGATAATATGGCATTCCCAAATATTTTTCGAGATTACTATTATATTTATTGTAGAATAATATCTCGTATAAGCCCTTTGATATATAAAGAATCTTGTTATAAGTAGGTCTAATGTTTTATGCAAGAGATAAACCGGTTTCATTTTACAGCCTTATAATCAAGGCTAAAGGCCTTTAAGATCGGCTTAATCAAACATATATATTACTAGCAGAATCCGCGGCCACGCCCGCGTTCAATCTACAGAGAAATCTCTGGCTTTATGTTATGCGATTAGAAAATTGGGGGGTGGGGGTAGGAGGGTGAAAAATACTTACGACCTATTCTCATACCTACCAAATATATAAAAAAATCATTAAAATCGGTCGAGCCGTTTCGTAGGAGTGCCACCACAAATACCGTGACACGAGATTTTTATATATAAGATGTATAGGTTTTTAAAACTTTCATGGTCATTGATAACATTATTATGACGTATAACGCGATATTTATTATTTACCATGTTTGGCGCATATAGTATACATATTTAGTCAAAAAGTACCTTTTTGGTTAACTTTTTTCAGTCTCGGAAAAATATTAACGAGGTGTCATTCGATTTGGAATGGCATGTAGATCATATTTGAAAAAAATCAAGTACCGCTTGCAAAAATTGCAAAAGTTGTAAACAATTATCTAAAAAAACAAAAGAGGGTTTAGTATTTTTGTAGATATCTCAAAAATTGTAATTTCCGAAAATACTGGATTTTACAAAAAAAAAAAACGCCGAGCTAATCTCAGTCGTCCAGGTACCTACTAATATTACACACACACATACAAACACACACACACACACGCAAACGCGCGCGCGCATGCACGCACAAACAAACTGTCGCATATGGATTATAACACTAAGAAAAAAAACGTTGATATACAAAATAAAAACGTGCGTGTATACTTCTGTTACTACTGTGCACACAAGAAGTTATACTTCTTTGGCGTAACAGAACAAAAATATCTAAAGATTTCATCCCGTATGCCACAACTCCCTGTTTGTAAAATGAAGGCAGCTAACTTCATCATGTCGCTTTTAGCTGACTTCATCATTCAAAACGTGCCAAAAGAAGTATAACTTTAAATAGTAGTTGATGGTAATGGAACCTATGATACCATGGGAAAAGAGGTAGTAAATATGGTATCTAAGTAGTCTACCGACTAATAAAATGGGTCTATTAAAAAAAATCTGGTCCCGGTTTCCGTATTCCCTGTGCCTCCCTGTCCCTTGTTTGTTGCTCTATGGCTGTGTATAAAAATTAAAAAAAATATATAATAAAAACCTACTTTCAGGCACTAAAATGTAAAAATAACTAAACGAAGGTTTTCATTTAGAATAGATACCTAATCAGATATTTTCGAAGTCGGTGCCAGCCGACAATATTTTAAGATATGAATATCTAATAGGTAAATATATATTTTACGCATCGAAATATATTAGATTTGCTTTGCATCGGCTGGCACTGACTTTATCTATTCGAAATGAAAACCTCCGTTTAGTTATTTTTTTCATTTTAGTGCCTGGAAGTCGGATTTTATTTTATTTTTTTAATTTTATTTAATAACATATTGATTAAACAATTTATTTAAAGAATATTTATTGTAGATTTTTTTAAAAACCGCTTGACCGATTTCGATAAAATTTATATGGGACCATCTGGGAAGTATACCCTTTGAAACAAAAAAAAGATTTTCCAAATCGGTTCAGGCGTCTTCGAGTGATCGGTGAACATACATAAAAAAAAAGATTCCGACGAATTGAGAACCTTCTTTTTAGAATTGGAAGTCGGTTAAAAAGAGCATCAAATCACTAATATCTTATTGTCTATTACAGGCGCTGGTGCGTGTCATCGTTTTGGACGACGGCGACTGTCATTTTGCATAGGCTTTTAACAGCCCCTCTCCCTCCAAACACAGGTGAGACTCACATCTACTCCATTTCGGTTACATATTACAATTATTAATAATAATGTTTACACACCTATTTTTATATGCTTGCTTCCCTATACAAACTTTCATCCCCATTCTCCCCTTAAAGGAATAATTTCCGGGATGAAGACGATTTCACTCACTCACTTTTCATATCATGAGATTTAAAAATTATCTCATTTTAGTAAAAAAAATCTTTTAATTTTCTTCTATACAAAACTTGTCCTGACAATAACAAACACAAAAAAAAAAAGAATTATCCAATTTGGTGCAGTCGATCGGAAGTTATGCGCTTACATACATTTCGGTGATTCATTTTTATTTATAAATAGACTAGCAGAACCCGTGGCTTCGCTCGCACTAAAACTACTAAAAATCTCTAAAAGGGTAGTTTCATACAAACTTTCATCCCCTATTTTACCCCCTTATAGGAAGAATTTCGAAACACGTATTTATTTTTATTGAAGAGCATTAATACCAAGATTCAAGTAAATTTTTTTAAGTTTTTTTTTTTTGGATTGTACTATAACATGTTTTCCCGTGGGAATTAGATAATATCCCGCGGTAAAAAGTAGCCCTTGTCACTCTCCTGCCCTCCAACTATCTTCACACAAAAAATCACGCGAATCCTTCACTGCGTTCCGACGTGAAAGAAGGACAAACAAACAAACACACTTTCACATTTATAATATTAAGTATGGATATAGATAGATATAGCTAGATATAAATATAAGAGATAGATGTCAAATATTCGCGTAAATCTAAGATAGTATTAATTTACTCGTATATGTTGCTTTTAGGTTCAAAAACGCCAAAACCTCGTCCAGCTAGTTCTGATCATCTTCACCCAGAGCCTCGAGTGGAGTGCGAGGTGCTGCACACACCGCCCAACCCTACTATCGATGTTATATTCGTCCACGGGTTGTATGGTAAGTTCTACGTCCACTATCATCTATAATGATATCCTCCAGACCGCGATTTCGACTACGGTGGCCAATCTCATTGAGACTAGCCAACTGCGCAGGAGATATTATAGTGCACAAGTGTACGCGCAGACACAACGTGCACTCTCTACTCCTGTCACTCTCATACTCCAGTGGGACGACATGAGACACGACTGGTGAGAGATCGAGCGCAGAACCGACGGTTATACGTGTTCTGCAAAGCACAGGGGTGAAATACCGCCAACTTCCCAACTTCGGGCTGTTACTGCAATTTTCTTAACAGCTCTATAAATAAAGTTGGCCTGACCCGGGTCTCGAACGCAGGACCTCTGGATCTGGATCTAGTGTAGTGTATGAATTAGGTATCTGGTATCCATAACACGGGCCTCGTAGCTTACCATGGAACTAGATGGTCCTGTGTGTTAATGTCCCAACATATTTATTATATTTATTATTATTATAAAACCTTTGAAGTTGAGTCCCTAGGTACGTTTTTAGGGTTAGAATGGTATCCCCCCCAACGTGCGTTCACCTTGTCGTGGTGGGGGGGCTCAGTAGTGCCCGGCAATCCAACCGGGCGCGAAGCTAAGAAACGCACAGGGAGGTTGCCCACTTCGGTGGGCGGTGGGAGGTGGCCCTTTTCGGGGGGCGGTGCACCATGCGGGTTGCTCCTGGTACTTCTCTGATAGCAGAGTGGACTGTGGAACAACCCCATGGTTGTGGTGGTCTGCTTCGGCAGACCTGCCGTCGGGGTGTCGTAGTTGAATGCGTAAGCGATCCTGCGATGCCCCATTAAGACGGGGGAAGGTTTTGTTGGGTTTTAGTGGGTAGTACTGGCTGTATTACGCCGGTGAGTCCCACACGTCGTGCGTAAATGCATTTCCCAACGTTAAAAAAAAAGGGTTAGAATGGTAAAGACATACATAGGTATGATGAGTTTTATATCCTTTACTCTAGAAATTATTGATTACCCATACAAACTTCCAACCCCCTTTTCACCCACTTAAGGGATTTCTGGGATAAAAATCAAGGAAAAGGTAACAGACAGACAGACAGACAGACGGACAGACAGACAGACAAACAGACAGACAGATAAAGTTATTTTTGCATTTATAATATTATACGATTCGCGCTTGACCGCTCTTTAAACCCACTAAAATAAATAATTTCAAAGATTTGAAACAGATCATTGTGTCTCTACATTCTCACTAACCTTTAGGTAAATAAGGACACGTAAAAATAAACCTTATTGTGTATAAGATAAGATTCGTTTTCACTCGTACAAAACAACATGTTTCTAACAATGAAAGATTGTTATTCAAACAATTCATTGAGTAATGCGCAATAACTTGAAAATCTACATAATTGATGAAATCAGGTATAATTTAACCGATTTTGCTGAAAAATTGGTTATGTATTTATTCTTTGGAGATCCGAATCCCACGGAGTTCGTATGGGACATACAAGTTTAGACAAACTCCGGTTAAAATAAAGCATGGCTGTAAAACGCTCTCTGAGAGAATTTTTTATGGACCTTTTGTCAACCGATTTAAAAAAAGGTGATTCACAATATGATTGTTTGTGTTTTTTTTATTTATATTTTTTGAACAATTGAATGGTAACACCCATATAGTTAGTCTAATAACTAAACGTACTTAGCTTTCTCAGGTGGTATTTGAACTAAAAGCTTGTATACAACCCCTTTTAACGTCCCACTGCTGGGGGTGGGCCTCCCTTCAATACGAGGGGGATCAGGCCATAGTCCACCACGCTGGCCAAGTGCGGGCGGACTGAGCATGTCTACAGACAACTTGCTAGGTTCTCTCAAACATGCAAATTTTATCACTCAACTGAAAGCTTATTATTACTGGAATGGAATATAACCTATGCTACTTTCTTATGTATCTTTCCAATGACGAAAAAATATCAAAATCGGTCCAGTAGTTACAAAGTTTTAGTTTATTTTCCCCAAAGACTTGGTTAGTATGATTATTTTCAAAATTGTTTAATGTTTTTAGTGTGAAATCTATACATATAATAAAATTCTAACTGAGTTGAATCTGTACATTGAATATTTTTTGGAAAACCTTATTGAAATAGACATTATTATCGATACAGAGGACGAATCTATAGTTTTTAGAATTTTTGTCTGTCTGTCTGTATGGGAACGAATCACGAGAAAGCCACTGGACAGATTTTGATGAAATTTGGTAAGATAATAACTGGTTGTCCGGGTCAACATATAGGATACTTTTTACTGCGAGAATATATCTCATCTCTGAGAAATCTGTACTGAACGTTAAAACGTAAGTAGGGACGAACCCAAGCAGAGCGACGGTGAGTCGCTAGTCCATAATATAAACGCAAAAGGATATCGCTAATTATGAATTGAATACATAAACACAGATGAAGCCACAAACTTGTTATGAGTCAAATATAAACCTATAATCTAATGGTTAGGTAATTTAACCCGCGTAATAAAATTACAAATGCACGTAATCGAGAAGCCATATGTATGAACATTGCAAATATCTTGAATGTCAGGGCTGTGTTATGTCAATTTTTAAATCTATTTGTAGAGACGATAAAAATAAAAGAGAGAGTGAGAGAGAGAAAGTCGAGATATAACAAACGTACACACATATACAAGTATCGCATTTATAAATAAAACTATCTTTTCGGATTTTTTTGCGGATTTATTTAAATTTTTGGTCCCCGAAGGGAATCCGTGCAAATAATCCAAAAAGATAGTTTTATAAAAACTAAACAACATATCCCACGGGAACCGTACATTTTTCCGGGATAAAAACTAACCTATATGCTATTCCAGATTATAATCTATCTCTGTGCCAAATTTCATCCAGATCCGTTCAGCCTTTCTGGCGTGATTGAGTAACAAACATCAATCCAAACTTTCGCATTTATAATATAGACTTTCTTTTATATATATAGATGGGATTTATGAGATTAGTATGGATTAGCAGTATAATAATTAGCGATTCGATTGACTTTATCATTACCCACAGTACTTTATACGTTAAACGATCGGTCCTGTCTGTTGTTTAGTCAGTCGTGTCTAATTGTCGTCGTAGAAAGCCTAAACTGTAAATAAAAATTACCGACTACCCCCAATTATTATCCCCGTGTTACATAGTATAAGAACAAAGAAAGTAAATAAAATATAGATAGATAGTTAGGAACGAATGCGGATGAATGATAGAAAGACATAGTATGCGGAATGAAAGTGCGAGAAGCATAAAAGCGAGAACTGGTATGAAAGAAGTAGAAAACACAGACCCCTTCCCCCATGTTGGAGGTTAAGTATAAACCAAAAAAAAAAAATGAAAAAATTGTCGTCGTAGTACACGGTTTAAGGAATTTTGTGCATTTGTGTTTGCGCACAGATTTATATGGTCATCTCAGTGATTATTTGTCCAAACAATCAATTTACCGAAAGAGTTTTTAATACAGAACTATTGACATTCAAATGTCAATTCTATTGGTATAAATAAATAAAATAAATAAATATGTTGGTACATTAACACACGGCACCATCTAGTTCCATGGTAAGCTACGAGGCTTATGTTATGGATACCAGATAGTTGATAACTATTGTATATAAATATATAACTTTAAATAGATACATATTATAAATATAAACACCCATGACTGGAGTACAAATATTCGTGCTCATCGCACAAATGAATGCCCCCAGCGGGACTCGAATAGTCGACTGCTGGCACAGAAAGTAGGGTAACTACAAACTAAGCCAAACGTGTCGTCAAGATTTATATATATGTATAAATCTTAGAGTAAAGCTTTGTTTTTAAAATAGAGGAACAAAACTCTTTACTGTAAAGTATACAACAAGTATTGGTCGTCTATATTATATATATATATATATATATATATATATATATATATATATATATATATATATATATATATATATATATATAATATGTCCAATAGTTGGCTATCATCAATAAGACTGTCGTAGTGAGCGGAATCGTATGAGATATTTAATATATAAACACATAGATACACATTGGCTAACGAATGTCTCTTCAAAAAGTGTCGTCGATTTGTGACGTTAAGTCCAACTAGAGAATAACATTCAAAAATCGAAAGTTCAAATTAGACAAAAACACAAATTCGAACTTACGCACACCACATAAAGTACTTTTTTAAATGAAACAATGTGCGTTTTTATTGTTTTCATTCGAAATGCAATGAACAAAAGATATTTGAAAAAAGCGCACAATTTCGAATTATGCACTTCTTTTTGAGGATACTTTTGAAACGCTATTTGTGTATCTCGAGTTTTGTATATCAATGGGTTGGAAGAATGTTTTTGTATATACTTTTTTATGTTTTAGGATCATTAGCAAACACGTGGAGGCAAGGAGAGTGGATGTCGAAATATGGGAAAGGTCCAACGAAAGTTCCTTTGCGACGACCGCATTCTATATCAACATGCAAATGTACCGTTGAAAGTGAAAAATGTGGTGAAAATGATGAAATATCTGATAAAAATGATAAAAACGCTAACATTGAAAGAGAAAATGATACAGAAAGAGAAAATGATGACGCAAGAGATAAGTTAACTACAGAAGAATCTGAAATACAGGTTACAAATATATACAAAGATATACAAAAGATTCTTCCAAATAATGATATTTTTATAACGGACAAATTTTATAATAACACACTTTTAGATCAGGAAGTTTCTGATCATCAGAAAAATGAACAGACAAACGGTAATAATGATGTGAAAGTTTTACCAAAAGATAATTTATTTATTGCTGAAAAATTCTACGCAGAATCGCTTATGAACCATGAAAATTATGAAACTCAAGCCCAGTTCGTTCAAGATCTGTTCAAAAGTGACATGAAAGAGAATCAGCATAATTATGAAGTGAATCCGACTGATAGTAAAGAGAATTTGACTGATAGTGAAGTGAATTTGACTGATAGTGAAGTGAATCCGACTGATAGTGAAGTGTATCCGACTGACAAAGTGTCGTGTAAGTGTACCGATTGTGTAGGGTGCGGGTGTGTTTGTGATGAGTGCTACTCACCCTGTTGGCCGAGGGATTGGGTGAGGGTGGATTACCCTGGTGCTAGGGTGATATCGATAAATTATACAAGCGACCCATATTTGTGGAGACCGTTATGGGTGAAGGAGATAAAAAGGTGAGTTTATGTCGTTTAATTAATACTTAAATATGATTGTTTTTGGCAAAAGTTTATGTAAATAAATATTGAAAAATAGTCTAAAATGTTACATATGAAAGTTTAATACAGGTTCGATTCCTACTTATTGTACTATATAAGCTAGAGAAATATTAGCTACAGATAAGACTAAAACTTGTGCCTTTAAATATATAGTCATAATAACTCAGTCTTTTATCGTTCCACGTTCAGAATCAGTCAATGTTTCGTTCAAGATGGAAGCAAATTTCTTTTAACGTAACTATTCCACTATATTTTAGATTTCAAAAAAAAAATCTTTTCGGATTTTTTCGCAGATTTTTTTAGATTTTTGGTTCCCGACGTTTCGAATGCTTTACATTATTATTATTATTATTTACAGCAATCATGGTCACTGGAGATATATCTAAATCCGCGAAAAAATCCGAAAAGATAGTTTTATTTAAATATAGGAAAGTATTAGATTAAATTAAATTTCTCAATGACTGTTGTTTATACTTTAATTCAATTCTCTTGTCAATGGCTTCAAAACGTGACAGTTGAACTCATTTACTTCGCTAATGTCACGTAGAATGGAGAATGAAGAAAGAAGGTTTGAATATGCTTAGTTGGATTGTTTCAACAATAATCTATACTAATATTATAAAGAGTTTGTTTGTTTGTTTGTTTGTTTGTTTGAACGCGTTAATCTCAGGAACTATTAATCCAATTTGAAAAATCTTTTTGCATTAGATAGCCCGTTTATTGGGGAACGCTATAAGCCGTATATCATCTATACTAATATTATGTATAAAGAAGTAAAGTTTGTGAGTTTGTGACGTTGTAGGAGGTAATCTCTGGATCTACTGAACTGATTTAGATGAAATTTGGTAAGAAGATAGTTGAGACCCTGGGAAAGACATGGGATACTTTTTATCCCGGAAATTACCCCTTAAGGGGGTGAAAATAGGGATGAAAGTTTGTATTGGGAAGCAAGCTAGGGACGGACCCGAGTGAAGCGAGGGTGAATCGCTAGTATAATATATAGTCAATCTATTCCATACTAACCGTTAAATATTTAAAATAAATACACGATGTTGTTGACACATTTGATGATTTTTAATTCAAATTCTTACCAGGCTTCGTCTCCACGATCGCGCGGAACAGATGATGTCGCAGCTCTTAGACTTGGGGGTGGGGGAGAGACCCATCATATGGGTGGGGCATTCCAAGGGGGGGTTGTTTATAAAACATATGTATTGTGAAGGTGAGAAATAAGAATGTTTATGGTGTTTCATCTTTTTGGAATAAAAATAAAAATTTGAATAAATATTTTATTATATCGTAGCATTTCGACAAAAAACGTATAAAAAAATCCTAATTTTTTTTTTAGTTCTATAAGTGTTTGAAAGCTGCCATTTAAGTCTAATTTAATAAAAAAATAAACTGAGCCTTATTAAAAAAAACATTTTTCAATAGACACTAGAAAAAGAGCGTTCCTAATATATTTATATAAATAAATAGGCAAATCAGTTCAGTACCTTTTTTTTCGTCTGTTTGTCAAACGATTTTCTTTTTTTTGTGTAGTAGCTATTGACGTGTTATTATTAAAAAAAATATGGTGGAATTTTGATCACTGGAGGAACATTTATGTTCAAAAATAATTGCTAGAATTAAACTTATCTTTATTAAATTAAAAAAAATTAATGTACTTAAATATGTTATTTTTTTATTTCAGCGTATGAAGCGCATTTAAAAATACAAAGAACGAATGTCAAAAACGAACAAAACATAATCGAAAGTAAAAACGATAATATAATCAACCATTGCATCGACAACCAAACAGAAAAAACCTGTGATATTAACGATAATAATGATGTTAATGAAATTAACGGAAATAATGATAATGATATAGTTAATAGTGTGATAGTTAATGATAGTGATAGTAATGATATAAGTAGTGATGATAATGATGTGGCAGAAATGAATGGTAAGTTGTAATGTATTAAATTTTGTATTTTATATAATTTTTGTTCATTTAAAGTTAATGATACCTAATTAGTTTATTTAAAAACTTTTTATCAGTACTAGCTAAGTGGCTACTCAAATCTTTTAAGTCGTGCTCAATTATGCTCAATAATGTTTTCCTTCAGCAGAGCAATTACAAAAAAGAGCAGCGCTTTGGACTAAAAGCTCAGGTTTTATGTTCTACTCAGTCCCACATAGAGGATCTCCTCTGGCTGACATAAAAACACCAATCACAGCAAGAAGCATCGAACTAATGGAGATTTGTAAAGGTATACTAATTAGACTTTATTAAAAGACGCGAAGCTTTGTATGTGTGTATGTTTGTTATGTCTTCACGCTGAAACAGCTAAACGGATTTGGATGAATTACAGTTTACAGATAGACTAACAGCTAGAGTAACATAGGTTATCGGTAATATGTATACTTTTAAAAAAATGTATTTAAAGTCAAAAAGTCAAAGTAAAGTAAAAATAGCTACCATATAAATAGTGTATGGTTATTAAACTAAAAGTTATAATAACCGTTGTTTTCTTCAAAACTGTTACGAATGAGAACAGCTTGGTAGCTCGATTTCTTTGGGATTTGATAAATTACGCTTAAATCATATAATTAATTTGATTGCAGATTTAATTAAAATTAACTTCACATTAAATTGACTAGGGACTGGGTTATTTCCCCCATTACAACCAAACCAAATTTTAAAACCTTTAAAATCTCTAATTTTAACCCTTAAAATGTCTAATTTAAACCCAGATTGCCCTCTCGTCCTGTCCCTGCAAGAGCGCTGGTCGCGCGCGGCCGCCGCCGGCGCGCCCGCCGCGCGCAGCCTCGTGGAGAGCTGCCGCACGCTCATGTCCGTGCTGTACTTGCGCATCGTCAGCGTGCATTCTGCTGGTGAGTTGTACTGACTACTGATAAACGTACATACATACATATGTACATACAGCGAGAACTTACTAGATCCTCTCAAACGTTATATGTCATATATTGTTTACACACTCAACACACACAGTACCATCTTGTTCCATGGAAAGCTACGAGGCCTGTGTTATAGATTCCAGATACATAGTTGATACACTACACACACACATATATATATATATATCCTATATACATATATATATATACATATATATATATATGTATATATATGTATATATAACTACACATTATAATAAAACACCCATGACTGGAGTACAAACTGAGCCAAACGTAAAGTCGGATATATGATATTTTCACTAATTTAGAAAAAAATATATCAAACATATAGGCAACAAAAATGATTTTCTTTTGTCTACCACAATTTTTTGGGGTATTAAACATAAACTATAAATAGTTCTTGGGAGACCGAGCTACGCATAGTATTTAGAATCGGTTAAAAATAAAAATTAAGTTTTTTCTTAAAAGACTATATACAAATAATATATAATACAAAACCTTTTCTAAATACAGAATTTGATCCATATCATTAGTGCCGTTACGAGATACACGTAGTATATGTATATACATATGGATATACAAACATTGAACTCATTTAATATTACAAGATTTAGTACATTTCCAAATCTAGTTTAGTGCTTAATTTACCTTTTCCTTCACAGACCCAGGTATAGGCGCTCTACACGGTGTGTCTGTCGATCATCGAGAAATATGCAAACCTTCGAGCCGACAATGCCTTTTATATCAAGAACTTATGACTTTAATGCGAGATGCCTTAAAAAAATATAACATCTAATATAATATTAATGAAATAAATAAATATTTTTACCTTAATAAGAAAGCTGTTTTAACAGCTTAAACTTTTTTCAGTTCAGAAACTTTTTTCTAAGTTTTCCAACTGTTTTCTTTTTTTGTTCTTTTTCATTCAATTTATAAAGCCAGTTTAATATTTTGTTTGAAACAAAAATCAAATATTTTATTTACATTTTTTATAGAAAATTGAACATTTAGAAAAATTTAATTTAATAGAAAAATCAATTACATTAAATTAATTAATACATATATTGTACTTATTTCTTCTCATTATGTATACGAAATATAATTTTTAATTGTCACTTATGAAACAGAATAAAAAAAGTTTTTTTTTAATTATTCATTAATATATAAAAAATAAATAAACACACATATTTTTATTATAAAAACAAGTTTTATGACAATACCACGGTCTTTTTTCTTCCCACTGAATTGTATGAAAAAAAAGCATTTAATTTTAACAAGACTAACTTTTACTTATAGTCCGAGAGACGACTGTTGAAATTAAGTTTATAGATTTAATTCATACTTTAATTCATACTGTTTTATTGCAGATATAAGCTTTCATATATTATAGAAGGTCTGGTTTGTATAGGTTCTAACTACTAAGTCCTACCAGATACTAAAAACTCGCTGTGTTCTCTCAGGCATGCAGGTTTCCTCGCGTTTTCCTTCACCGTAAGGCAAGTGGTGATCATGTTGGAAATAATTCCCACATAAAAATCTTCGAGACTTTGATTTGGATTTTGTTTGAAGTGAGCTTATATATTGTACATTTAAAATTAAATTACAAGGTAAATAATTACTTTGCAATAAAAAAAAATATTTTAATGTTACCATCCTTGATTTATAACCTATTCATTAAAAAAAAGTATGTCACAATTGGTATATCGCGTAGTATATAAAGAAAAAAATCTCATTCAATTGTTATTTTCCCCTTTAAAATAACCCTCGTCTCTCAGACTACTTTCATATCACAGTTATTGAGCTTTAAACATATTATATACTTATTATTAAAAAAAAATATGTCAAAATGCATTTTATCCCACATGTAGGTGCGGGTTCAAATCTAGACTTAGACAAAATATTATTCTACAATCGTTTAAGAATAAAAACAATATAAAAATATCATTATGTTATAGATTACAATTTAATTTTTAAATATTTATGAAGTGAAACTTCTTTAGAATTGTTGTGGTTTGAAACTCTATTGAAACGAAAATGCGACACGAGAAAGAGACAAACACATAAATATATAGGATTGAACCGGCGAGAGAATGAGATAGAATACATTGCCACGTTGCCATGGTGACCATTATTATTGTCTGACAAATATATAATATTATATTCTTTCCGTATATGATATTCTATAAATATAAGATTGTAATATGCCTTATTTAATTACTAATTTGTTTTAATTTAATAGCGATATTTTCCAAAGAAGTTTTACTTCAACCGCGCGTTAAGTTTACACGCATCCATTTTTTATTTGCAACGGTTGGTAGCATGACATTTTGTCGATACTTACACACTATTATTTTTGTTATAATAACAAAACTGTCGATTTTAAACGCGTTTAAACATTGTACGAGACAAATAATTGTTATTTTATTGTATTAATAAAGTTATAATTATAATTTTTTTGTTTTATTTTAATACTAAACTAACTTCAAAGTTTTAACCGATCTTTAAAAACCTATCATTTACGACGACACGAGACACTCGCGGTGAGAGTGTCGGCGCAGGACCGACGGCTTTACGTGCTCTCCGAGGCACGGGGGTGAAACACCGCCAACTTTCCAACTCCGGGCTGTTACTGAGACTTACTATACAGAAAGACTCAATAACTAAACTTGGCCCGACCCGGGACTCGAACCCAGGACCTCCGGGTGTGCAGCCGTACATGCTAGCCACTACTATAATATTGTATAACTAGCATTGCCCGCGGCTCCGCCCGCGTTTAGATGACCAAAAACCAAATTCTTAGGTTTTACATATTACTATACTCTTACATTGCAGTTTTTGCATTTTTTCTCAGAAATGAGACATTTTCCTGCGGTAAAAAGTATCCTATATGTTGACCCGGATAACCAGCTATCATCATACCAAGTTTCATTAAAATATAGATTCGGACTCTGTATCGATAATAACGTCTATTTCAATAAGATTTTCCAAAAAATATTTAATGTACAGATTTGACTTAGTTATAATTTTATTATATGTATTATATATGAATATATTTGTGTATGTTTGTCCTCTATACATACCTAAGCCATTGACCTGACTGTGATGAAACTCTGGTAGATTATTCCATATACGCCTGCTAAGGTTCCCGGCGCAATAAAACTTTCGTTAAAGGTTTACCTTTTATGTACTCGACCGAAGCGTGCCTAAGTCGCTAATTTTCTATAATAATAACACGCATGTTATATTAACGAAAACTATCAAAATCGGTTTGAGTAAGTAAGTAGATAGATTTGTAAACTAAAAAAATATATTTTAAAATGAAACACCGGCTTAAATAACCACACCATTAGGCATTATTTATTATTTGTTATAAACTCGCAACAAAACAGCGACGCACTCGTCGCAACAACAACACGCAGTCGTTAGCTAAAGCCAATAAGAGATCGCAAATTTCTCCTAAGAAATCACTTATTCTTGTATTCGGATCTCCTTCTATAGTTTTTAATGCTTCCTTAAAGAATTCTAAAAACATACAACAGCACGTACAACAATTTTTACTCATGGACCGTCCTATGGACCGTAGTGACGGATCGGGAACGGTGGACCGTTTGCATTTCAAATCTTTTTTACTGCCGCGGGTTTTTGATTTGACGCAACGACAGTTGGTGCATGGGGACTGTTCTTTTTTGGATGGTAAAATCTGAAATCCATACTAATATAGAAATGTGAAAGTGTGTTTGTTTGTTTGTCCTTTCTTTCACGTCGAAACGGAGTGACGGATAGGCGTGATTTTTTGTATAGAGATAGTTGGTGAGCTGGAGAGTGATATAGGTTACTTTTTATTGCGGGAGATTATCTCATTCCTACGTGAAAACACGTTATATACAACCCAAAAATTATTTATGATCAGAATTACTTGAAACTTGGTATTAATTAACACTTTTTAATATAATTAAATAAATACGTGTTCTAGCATTTTTCGAAATTCATCTCATAAGGGGGGAATGAAAGTATGTATGAAACCTAACCATTAAATAAATAAAACAATACGTATATTAGATTTCTAGAACGAGCGAAGCCGCGAGATCTGCTAGTTCTTCTATAATTATGGAACACGGTAATTTAAAGTTATACAATTAGCCGTTATATAATTTTTTAAATTATCGCGTTCCATTTTATTCAACGATTTTAATTTTATCATTCAAAACTAATAACTTACTCTAAATCTCCACGCATCTGTCGTCGTTTCGTCCATACTTCAGATTAATTTCTCAAAATCATTGTTTCAAACGTTATTTTTACAAAAATTTCACAATTTTAAATGGACGCTGAATTGACAAGTAATTTATTTATAATTGTCAGAAAAAAATGATATTCTTCTTTTTATGTATATTTTAAGGAGTTTTAAATAAAACTATCTTTTCGGATTTTTTTCATTTCTGGTTCCTGAAGTTTCGAATGCTTTACAGAAATCATGGTCACGGGAGAGACTCCCGATAGTTTTAATAAAATATCGGTATATAATTTAAAAGCATTATTTTATGGAGTTGTTATACAATTTTCTTAAGAGCAAAACTTAGGTTAAAAAAAAAAGTCGAAGCAAAACTTATAAAATTATAATATGGAGATAATTTGATGTGAAATTAACAAAAAAGAATGTGGATATTACTGTGTGTAAGAAAAATAAATTTCAAGTTCGAGGAAAAACAATAGGTAAAATATTCAGTCTGTCTGTCTGTTACCGCATCACGGAAAAACCACTGGAGGGATTTTGATGAAATTTGGTATGATAGCTGGTTATCCGGGTCAACATATAGGACACTTTTTATCGCGGGAAAATATCTCGTTTCTGAGAAAAAATACAAAAATTGCAATGTAAGAGTATACTAATATGTAAAACCTAAAAATTTGGTTTTTGGTCACCTGACCACGGGCGGAGCAGCGGGAAACGCTTGTTATATATAACTTCCAAAAAACAAAAAGGAGAAAATAAAACGACCAAGTACATAATAAACTTTCAAACAGCATATATTGTAGAAATAAAAAAATACATGATACAAATAAACTCTTTTCATCTTAATTTACAAGTTCGTACAATTTTTGGTCCATTTTGTCAATTATGGCCCATCCAAAACCTGTATTAAATTTCAAATGGACCAGAATTTTATATGATTTTAATTATTAACTTTATGTTAAAATCAAGAATGGACCAAAAATGGTCCAACATTGAAAATCAAGGTCTAAGCTAAAAACTTAACCTAAGCCGTGTTTGTGACGGAGGAGGAAAAAAAACGTCCCGATTTTAAAACTAATAATTTATTTCATTTAAAAATACACAAAAATCGCATAAAATGCCGGTGTCCATAATTTCAAAGATTACAAGTAACTTACATTATTTTTTTATAAATACAGGATGCTCGAAAACATATCTAGTCACTTTTCCGAACAGCCTATAGTTTCTTGGCTGGCAACACCGTGGTCGGTTCTAGCAGAAATTAGCATACTAATAAAAAATACTGATAAAAACACTATAAAATATGTAACATATTAAAAATAGTAAAATTTCATTGAATTATATTTAAAAATCACGTATAAAAAAACTCTTTATAACTATATTCATACTCAAACCAACTCAGTTCGAATCGGAAAACTCAAATTCGACTCGGATAAAATCGGAAAAACTCAAACTAACTCCGACCACAGTGTCATCAACCAAACAACACATAACGTATCAATAAAAAAAAAACCAACTTGTCATTTTAACAACGCTAGACTTACTCTAGGTAATGTCAAATTGTTGAGGCCCAAAATAAAATATAGTATTAAAAATAAAAAGTTTCATCGAATCGGGCCTTGCTGCTAACATAATGTACTTTACCGCCGTATTAATAAACGTATTACGTTCTCTTTCATTTTCCTTATGTGCGAAAGAGATAGATACATATAATTTTACTTGCAAATCTCAAACTACTGCCTACAGATTAGTAATAAGTCTATATATATTTTTTATTCATGCCTTTGGTTTATTAATAAGGCGGTCTTTTTCCCAACATGGTTTTTAGAAGGCGGATACATTATATATGGCAGATGTGAGGTATTTCCGTACAAATTCGAAACCGTTTTGAGAAACCATGTTGAAAATTTTACGTCAAAATTTGAAAGGAAAAATATTTTATTTAAAAAAATTAAAAAAAAAAAACAAGGAATAAGTTAAAATCTACAAAATATGTAGGCTATATATTATTTTTATTTTTAGTATTATATATCCGAAACCGTCGTATCATCTGTGCAATGTCGGTATTCGGTGATCAAGGTTTATAAATTGTAGAAAGTGTATCAAATTGGTCTGTTTGTTTGTTTGTTTTTTAATACATTCATATTTCACGAGATGGTCCCATATATAGTTGAGATGCCTGGATTGTTAATTTTTAATTTAAATTTTCAATTTAAATGGTGAAATCTAATATTTATCAACCTTGATCAAACATCAATCATTTATAATAAAAGCACGAACAGGGTAATCCCCCAACATGGAAAAGCATTACATGCCATTATAAAAAATACACAATAATGCACCAAAAAACCGTCTATTAGTTTCAAAAGAAAGTGTTGCCAGTTGAAAACTTCATAAGACCATATTGAGCATTAATTTTCCGGATTATTTCAATTATTTCCGTAACTTTCCGATTCTTTCCGAACTTAACATAAATTTAAAATTATTTCTACGAGACATTTTATTGCAAGAGTTTCGTTCAAAACTAACAAACGAGCCGGAAATAAGTGGGAAAAATATCATTTTTTTTCATAAGACGATTGGCAAGTCATAAGAGAAGAGCGTTAACACCAAATAAATATGTATGTATGTCCGCTACACCTAATCTACTGCTCGGTCGAGCGCTTCAAGCTTGGTGGGTTGCGCACGAAAATTACAGAATTAATACAAAGAAGCGGTAATATGCGATAATTTTGAACCCTTAATATTACAATTTGAAAGCGAGATGGCAGTGTTGTTCTTGAATTATATCTGTGAAAGAAAAAAAATATATGTAAATGAAAAGATATCTGTAATAAAATTGTGCAATTTCCTATTAGTGAAAGAATTTTTAGAATCATCTCCGTAGTTTCTGAGATTATGCCAGATATTCAAACAAACAAATAAATAAATTTTACTTAGAACTAGCTTCCGCTCGCCTGTAAAATAAAAAATAAACATTATATTTTGTTATTATTTAATACAGTTTAACAAATACCTCTAGGCGGGTTGCGGCGTGCTGGACTTGTCCTTCTTCTTTTCCTTCTTCTTCTTGAGGAAGGAGGGCGTGCGGAGACCCTTCTTCTTCTTCTTATCCTTCTTGGGAGACTCTTCTGTCGATACCTCCTTGGATGGAGAGCCCTGAATCGAAAAAATATTAAAACATTAAAATGTGGTCGAATATTTTAACCGTTTCCCTGTGCCATGAGTCAGTCATATATGAAAATTTCGATTGTTTAACTATTGCGTCTATTTTGCGTACAGCTAATCTATTAAAACAAATTTTATGTAAAACCGATGATAGAATAATATTTTAAAAAACCAACCAAACAGACACACACACGTTTTTAATTGTAATAATGCTACTTGCTAATACACTTATTGCTTCCTTTATTTTTAAAACTCATTGTACGATAAGTAACTACTCGACACTTGCGACATTAAAATTGAAAGATATTATTATAATATTAACGTTTTTTTGCACTTATCGATCTTGGAATTTTTTTGGCTATTTATAGACCCTGTGTAGGTGGAAACCAAAATCTATAGTGTGATTAAAATTTATTTTAAAATATATAAGAAAATAACATTAAACTTTAATTAATAGTATAAAAAATGTTTTAAAATCTAAATGTGCATGTGAGATATATATGAGACATATCATAAGACATATTCCGCGATAAACAAGATCATTCCCAAGGAGGGTTGACGTCAGGCAGGCGGCCGGTCGTAAAACTTTTGCCAAATCCGTTCAGCAGTACAGAGGATTGGAATGTATATTAATTATTAAATGAATGAATGCGCCGACCCCAAGTAATTGGGAAATGGGCAGGGAGAAGAAGTGTAGGTGGCGATTTTGTCGAGATCCAGATTATTTCTAAATTTTCCCACTAAACAAGGTAGTTTCTTTATGTTTTAAAACTAATAAAAATGGCACTGAAGGTTACAAAATTATTCTCTGCTATAAAAAAAATAGGAAAAGATAGAAAAATATATGTATACCTCTTTACTGCTATGCGAGAAGGTACTTTGATGAGCGTCAGAGTGATCCCCGTTCACAGTGTGCTCGCCTAAAATATTAAAAAAAAAACATTACAGCATCACAAAAAAAAAGAAAATAAGAACAGAGATACCCAAAATAGACTAATTTGTTCTAAAATTAGTTCAAATTTTAAATTTAACTCTAAAATTTAACTGGCTGAGAATAAATAGCTAACCTACTTATTTTACCAACAATGAAAAAAGAAATGTGTATGTAGAAAACTTGCAATATCTTATTCTATTGCATTAAAAAAAACAATACAAAAAAAATGTGCAAAACATACAATTTAAATGTGAAACTCACCCTTAATCGACAATCGCCGAAGGCTTCGATCCCGAAACCAACCAAAAGCTAAGCATGCATTGAAAAGTAAGATTGCAACCAAAAATAACCAGCGGTATATAAAAAAAATGCAAAAAAAAATCTTTTTGGTTGCATCTTTTTAGAACACAGCACAAAATGTATAACTACCCACAAATGACTGTTCAATTATTATTCTAAGTCCATATTAGTATAGGCATTATTTTTCTTTAAATTAAAATAAAAAATATAAAAAGCTTGGAAAGTTTTAATTAATTAAAAAAAAAGATATTTTTTTTATTAATTAAACAAAAACAAAAAAAAACCTCGCGCGCTTTACATGACGTCACATTCCACGCTCATGTCCTAATTTTTAAGTGATCCCTAAATTACTGTTATATTGACATTTTAGATGCTAAAAATGCCTTGAATTTCCCATCAAACACAACAAATATTAAAATCGATGTGTGTATGTATGTTCCTTATGGACTTCAAAACGGCTGGAGTGATTTTGATGAAATTTTCAGGCAATCTTCAGATTAGCCGAGCGGGTGACCCTGTCAAGTTTGGTAGCAGCGATCGGAAGTTTGAACGCGGGCGAAGCCGCGGGTACGACTCTACCATATAAATAATATCAATATTACAAATTGGGCTTAGCATCTGACGTCACATTTCGTTCTAACCACCGTTCCGTGTTTCGTAATTTTGCATCTGCCGCACATGTTTACATTTTAATTAAAAAAATTATGGAATAAAAAAAAAGTTATACGGTCGGACAAATATTCGAAAAAAATATCTAAAACTAACATAAGCCAATATGCAAATCCTCTAATAAATTTAAAAAAATGGACATTATTCATTAAATAAAAAATAAAATAAAACAGTCAAAAGCGGGTAGTTAAAAAATGACTTAAAGAAAAACAAATAAGGCAGACATAATATTATATTTATAGCATTAGACTCTTAACAATGACCAAGCAATACAGAAAGAACATACATACAACAAAAAATATTACACTTCGAAATAAAATATCCGATAAACAAAATTCCGTTTTGTTTTTAAACTGGTTAAAAGAAAATTAATATAAAACACATGCAATATTAAAAAAAAACATAGCGTACAGTTAAAATACATTATATTCACATAGAAATGAAAAAAAAAATGGAAAAAATTATGGGGAAATAGGAAAATACAAACCAGACGAAACTATTTTTCATGAAATAAATTTCACAGAATTATTTCCAAAATTTTACCATAAAATCCGATTTTTTTGAACTAAAATTGACTGAAGAAGGGGCTTTGAGTTAAACCGAAAGTTACAAAAAATTGATTTTTTAGAAATATTAAAAGAAATATTACTCTGTAAATCTACAAAAATAACTATAAACTATTATCTAGTCTATGGTTTAAATTACTTAAATCAAAACTTTCCGAAAGTCTGAATTCAGAGGCAATCCTATAGAACAAAGTATGTTCATACGACGGCCATGTTGAATACAAACGTCTGTTAGTCTTATGTCTTGAATCAAAAATCAATTTCTCTTTTCCTAGTAAATCTACTCCATTGGTATTCTCTATTCTTGAATTAGATTCACATGTATTATAATTGGAGCATGTTTCTGTTAGAAAAGTTTCATCATAATCAGATCTAGCATCAGTTAAAACAAAATTATTAGCATTAAGTGCACTTTTATCTTTAAAATCTACTGTTAGAAAACTTGGCAACTCTTTATTTCTGCGCAATTTACTCTTTGGTTCATCCACTGGCAGAGTTTCATCAAAAGAGAGCCAGTATTTTATCCCACCGCTATGTGAAGTTTGGGACATTTGTAAAACATTAGCCTTTTTAACGAATGGCGAACCTAAAATTGTATCATCTTTTTCGTATAGAACGCTCAAATCGTCACCTATAAAACTACTTTCTACACGTTTTATTGGTGATTCAGTACATTCTTTAAAAATGTTCCCATTAAATGATGAAGATTCGTCATTAATGAAAGCTGTGTTCATATTCTCTATGACATAAGTCTCGTTTAACTTATGATCGTAATATGATTTTAAAGATTTATCAAATAAACTAGATATTAAATCATTAGCTACTTCTGTACTGTCATCATTAAATTCTGTGGTAAAATCATTTTTGCTATCATTAGCGAATGCTACATTTCCTTCATTTATAGTTGACTCGTTGATATCATTATTACTTAATTCTGTCCCTTCGCTGTCATTATTACTTAATATTAAAGAAAATTCGTCTAATTTATCAGATATGAAGTTTGTTTGAAGATATGTTTCTAAATCTCCAATATTTTCTTCAAGATGTAAATCTTTAGAGGCATCATTATTATTATTAAAATCGTCATTATTAAGACTGAAATTCAACCAATTTACTGTAGTAGTGAACAAAATGTCCTCAAAATCAACAATAGTAACAACATTTTTGGTAGATTTTGTCTTAATTTTTTTCTTCTTCTGCTTACAGATATGGAAGACCGAATTAAAAATATAATACATTATAGCTTCAATAATCTTATGAGAATCGTAAACATCTGTCTCGCTCACTTCAGTCGAAACAGTTTCATTTAAATGCAATTCAAGTTCTATATCTTTTACTATTTGCGTTATAGAAAAGTATTGCTCAACTTTTTCTTTTATCTTTTCATCATTTAATTTTTCGGGTACTTTAAGATTGTCATCTTTAGTAAGCATGTTAAAATCAATTCTGCCCAAAATAGAAGTGACGATATCGGCTATTATCTCATACTTTTCGAATTCCGCTGTAGAATCAAAGCTTACTCTTTCGATTAAACTAGTTCCACTTAGAGAACTATTTCTATCATTTTTGATATCTTTTTCTGTTTTGACTGTTAAGATTTGCTGTTCATTTTGAATTAAATTACTATTAAGATCATCAGTTTTTATACTTTTAGACAAAACTTCGTCTACAGCTTCTTGATTATTATCGTCATCTATAGTCAATTCATTTTTATTAATATCATTAGATGTATCATATGAGCTTTTAGATTCTTCTAAAATCGGTTCCAACACCGTCTTTTTGGGCAAATCAATTATTTTCTTAGGCGATTTTCTCGGACTTTCTTTTTTATTATATTCATCGCAATAAAAATTTATGGGTACTGAATAATCTCTTATGTCTTTTTCAACAAGATCTCTCACTGGACTTTCATAAACCGCCTGTTCGAATTCTAAATCATCGATGAAACTGTGATATTCTCCTTCTGTCGATTCTAAAGAAATGTTATTAGCTTCACTATTACTTTCAATTACTTCTACACGTATTGCTTCATATATTTCAGAATTTTCGTATATTTTAGCATCTCTATTACTTTCGTCGTAGTTATCTTTTTTATTCACATCAAATTCACAATTATTACTGGGTATATCATCAGAATTGCTTTTTACTATAACCGTCGAGTTCGCTGAAGAAAAACTATTTCCTATATCACTTATATAATTATCTTCATTAAACTCTTGACTTTCTACAAATTCTGACGTTATCGGCATCAAAACTGGTACAGCCGTCTCTTTAACTTTAACATTACTAAATTCTATTTCATCTATACACTTTTCAGGTATATTACCATCGGAATAGTGTGCGCCTTTAAACTTATTCTCTCTCACAGACTCTCTTGGATAAGAAGAAATGATTGTACCGCAAGAATTGCATTTGGGAACATGAAAATGTATTGGTTCAGGATCTTTAATGTATGAATTAATAAAACTGCTGTGAGATCTAGTTCTATACAACTTATTGCCGTCTGTTTTACTCTTTCTAGGCAAAGAGCGAGTGCGAAAAGAGAAATCTACTTTACAGTCCCATTCTAGCGATGGAATAGAAAAAAGACTGGAGCGACTGCTAAAATTACCGGGATTATAGATAGCTATGGCGTTTTCGTCGTTAAGTTTCGTGTTTAAGCTCATTTTACACTTTGGGTGTTTGTCTGGTTCGTATTTAGTTATTGTATTAGTAAAATTGAGGTTTCGTGAATATTTGTGGAGGGAGCGCTTGTGAGATGATCGAGCTTCATTACTTTCTGATAGTTTTGTACCTGTTAGGGATTGGTTAGCCATGTTAGTGAAAACTCTAAAAGGGGGTTATTTAGAGCGAAAAAATACATAATAGAATTATTTAAAAAATAAATAACGATAGATGAACTTAATAATATGTACATATATAGATGTAACAGATAATGTATATATATGATATATTAAAATACAGACAACATACGATGTGAATGGGATGACGTAAACTATGACGTCACAAGACAACAATCTGGCACAATAAAATGAATGAAATGAAGAAACAAACGAAAATGATCTTTATCACGAAGCACTAACGTACACCATAAGCTAGCGATATGGAAAATCTGAATTATTATAATTCACTCGCTCATCTCTTTTACATCTCTCTCAAATAACTAAAAAATACTTTCACACATCATAATTTCATTTTCTCTTCCTTTCTCTCTCAACTCTCTGTCATACACATTTTTCCTGTATCATGCCTTCCTTCATGTCCTTCTATTTCGAAATACATACAAAATAATCTTTATTTAAGATAACTAAGAAATGTAAACTGTTTCACTCAATTATTTATTGATGTAGCTATTATTATCCCACCGCATATTAACGTTATATATATATATATATATATATATAATATATATATATATATATATATATATATATATATATATCATTAACTTTTGTTGTTACATTATTTTTACTATCATTAACTGATAATTAGTCATCATAATCATTCAATCAATCATTAATAGTTGATTCGCTAATGTCATCATTGCTTCTTTTGTTATCATTATTATTTGATATTAAATAACAATTACCCTTTACATCATCTCATATTTTAATAAAATACGTAAGTTTATTTTCCAGTCCTTTTTTTAGTTCACTATACATACATATCTTTACAAATTTATTCCCCTTTTATTTTCTATCTCTATCACTCTATCCCTTTGGCCCTTTCAGTCATCTCCGCCAGTAAATAAATAAAACTTCTTTCTTTTCTCTTTACACTACTGACACATCACATAAAAACAAACAAAATCCTACACCCCCACTCCGCTCACCTCTCCCAACAGTCCCCTGCACTGTAGTAGTGTATTGTCGGATAACAACAGGCCCCTGTACAGGCATCTGAATATGAACCGGCACGGAGGAAGTGCCAGACGGTACAGACGACGTGGAGTCGAGGAAGACTTCATCATCAGATAGCAGGTTTGGATCCCGAGCTGAATCTTATTTGGTGCGAATTGGTTTTGGATTAATAAAACAAAATTTAGAAAAAAATACCCCTCGTTTTCAATTATAGAAGAAATATATAATAGATTATTGATAAATAGTTTTGGTAACCCTACTATATATTAGATATAAGTATATTGGGTAAAGGAATTGAAAAGAAGGTATAAAAAAGGTTGATCATATTAATAATTTGTATTAAATATTAAAAAAAACATGCTGCTTGTGCACGTGTGTTAAAAATTGTGCAAAACATGCCAAAATCCAAAAATATGGACCTACATACAAAAAAATTGCCATTTTTTTCTTTGCATGTGAGTGTCATTCATATATCAAAAACACTTTGAATAAAACTATTTTTTTCGTAGCTTTCGAGTTCTATTACATCCCCGGTCACGATTCACTCTCATTCCAAATGTGAACCAAAAAAACACGGTAAAAAAATAGTTTTATATAAAATGTAAAATATTCGAGAAAATCTTATAAATTAATATGTCAAAAACACCAAAAATACAATTAAAAACATAAAAATGCATGTCCACATGCGCATTATACGATATGTACAAACCTCTAGTCCGATCGGCGTGTTCGCGTTCAGCCGCCAAGAAATCTGTCGTGTCCACTACAAACAAACGGACATGCGGACTACTATGTATGTATGTATATATAGCGGGCGTTTGACTTTTAAATATTAAAAAAAACATTGTTGAAATAAAAAAAATATGAAAAAAATATTGTCAATAGCTCATGCCAAAAAAACTTTTTTACTTTTTTTAATATGAAAAAAAAATGATAATTAAATAAAACAAAGTCAAATACCCAATAAGATTGTATATATAGAAAAAAAGTATCAAGATCAAACGATTAGTCATAAAAAAAGTCAGAGAAATATCTAAAACTCTACGGCTAAATGTTAGATTGGCTGGCTAATTTAAATATGGCGGCTATTACACAAAATAAAAAAGAAAATTAAAAAAAAATACTACGTTGCCATTTTAGCTATAGTTATAGTTATGGACTAAAATTGGCTTTTATAAGTGCAGACTAAATATTGATCTTATTATTATATAAATTATGTATTTAAATAGTGTTAATACAAGTCATATACTTATTCACAAAAAAAAATTATTACATAAAAAATACAATTTTTTTCTAAGTATTTATATTTTATTTTTCGATTTTTTTGTCGTTAAAAAGTAACTTTAAAAAATTGTTTGTATCAATCAGATCAGTAATCTATTGGTAGCTTGCTCGTTTTAGAAACAGAATTAACCGGGTTCAAACCCCGAGTCTTACACTATGTGAACTATTTCCAACGTTTGCTAATACGATGAAGGAAAACATCGTCAGGAAGACTGCATGTTTGAGAGAGCCTTAATCTATACTGATAAATTGAAGTGTCTATTTGTAATGTTAAAATAACAGCTTTTTACTACATGCATATAAAATTATATATGGTACTTATAAGAAAAACACAATTTAAAAAAAAATCCTGTCTATTTCGGCTAAGATATCTTCGACAAGGCTGGACCGATTTTGACGAGACTTTTACTGGGCAGATAGCTGATGTTATAAAGAGTAACTTAAGCTACTTTTATTTAAAAAAGTTAGGTTTCCGTTCAAACCGCATGTGACCACTTGCAAGGACCACGGTCCTTATATTTGGGGAAAGCCCACTCCCAGCAGTGGGATATCAAAAAGAAATGATATAAACGGTAAACCTCCACTTAGATTAGCCGGCAAAACTAAACTACGATGCAAAAATAGCCGTTCTGTATACATGCTATAACATAAGAGATGGGTCAAAATGCTTAAAAACAAAAAAAAACAACAAAAATTAAAAAAAAACTCACCATCACTGAGAACGACCTCGGGCTGACTGCGCACCGGCACTTGCTTCGTCTCTATCCGGAGTACGCGTTGCTCTGTAAAGTTTCGTCGAAATTGGTTTAGGAAAATTTATATCTATATTGAGCTTAGTATGAAAAAATGACTATGTCAAAACAAATTAGATATTTTTATTTAAATAACTATAATATATTATACTTATACACAAAAAATATGTATATAAAAAAATGAAAAAAATATATGAAAAAACAAAAAAAAATGGAATTAAAAAAATATATATTATAATTTTGTAAAGCTGTCTATTAGCTCTGTACAAAAAAAACAAACAAAAAAAACCTAATTAAGTACAAAAAAAACCGCACCATCACGCGACTCATCCTCGGTGTCGGAGGGCGCGGTGTTGGGTGACGTCACTTGCGCCGCACTCACCGCCTCCGACTCAGAAATGTCCGTGTCATCTGGAAAAAAAATATTCTAGATTATTAAGTAGACTTTAGTCTTTCCATTTTCCTCCGGCACTATTCATATATATCCATTATATATATATATATATATATATATATATATATATATATATATATATCCATTATCCTCCGACACTTCGTTAAATTTTGATTATTCCTTTGACCCCAATTCTATATAGTTATATATTACTAGCAGAACCAGCGGTTTCGCTCGCGCTAAAACTACTAAAAAAGAGTAAAAAGATAGGTTTCATACAAATTTCCATCCCCTATTTTACCCCTTACGGGATGAATTTGGGAAAATGCTAAAACACGTATTTATTTAATTGTATTGAGGAGCATTAACACAAAGTTTAAAGTAATTCTGATCATAAATATTTTTTTGAACTGTATTATAACGTGTTTTCAGGTGGGAATGAGATAATCTCGCCCCCTTAAATATTTATTTTATTCTGTTTTTAGTATTTGTTAATATAGCGGCAAAGAAATACATCTGTGAAAATTTCAACTGTCTATCACGGTTCATGAGATACAACCTGGTCACAGACGGACAGACAGACAGACAGACAGACAGATAGACAGACGAACGGACGGACGGACAGACAGGCGGTTGGACAGCAAAGTCTTAGTAATAGGGTCCAGTTTTACCCTTTGGGTACGGAACCCTAAAAACATTTTTCCATTTCACATCATTGCTATAATACCACATCAATTAACCCATTACCACGGTAACCCATCCTAGCTATCCCAAAGCGCAGATACTTAACTTTTTTTCTTATATATTTTTTTCTTTTACTTTTTTTTAACTCACAATCATGCCGCTGTTTCCTCTCAACAGTGCGACGGTACTCGTCTATCTCGTTGTCTGTGACGTGATCGAAAGGGTTGCGGGCGTAGGGCGCGCTGTACACGGCCGCGTTGTGTTGATACCCGCGTTGGATGATGCCCTTGGATGCTGCGCCCATCAGTACCTAGGGATAGGGTGGGTTGTGTTTATTTTTTATAACATTAGTATTGACTAGCGACTCAACTCTCGCTCAGCTCGGGTTCAGCCCTAGTTATTTTTTAACGTTTAGTATAGATTTCTCAGAGATGAGATATTGTCCTGCAGTAAAAGTATCTTATATGTTGACCAGGATAACCAGCTATCATCATATCAAATTTCATCAAAGTCTGTCCAGTGGTTTTCTCGTGTTGCGTTTCCAGACAGACAGACAGATAGACAGACAGACAGATTAAAATTCTAAAAACTATAGATTCGGCCTCTGTATCGATAATAATGTCCATTTCAATAAGATTTTCCAAAAAATATTTAATTTACAGAATGGACTCAGAATTTTATTATATATATATATAGATAACATATTAATGATCCAGCGTCCCTAGACGCCCTACACTGCTATATGACAGAAGAATAAAACTATATTCTTATAGAAAGGCATCTAGGGATAAAAATGACAGTGAGAAATTAGAGACATTGATTAAATTATAATTGCAAAAAAAAAAAACATTTTCACAAAGAAAACAAAAACTTTTTTTTAATTAGTTATAATTTTTTGGTCCCTATCCAATCTCAAGACTCTTTCTTATCAATAAAAAATCCAATTTAATTTTCTATTAATAAATGTTTACGTTACAGAATTCATAAATACTCGTAAATATTCAATATTACCACAGATATAAAAACTTAGCTGTTAATTCAATTGTATCTTTCATAAAGTTTACTTACAATTAAAAAAAAAACAGATTTTTTGTATGTATATATGTATAAACTTACCACATGATCACCAGTGTGCGTGTTAACTGCGTCCTCACCCACAAGTTTCGAAGCCTCGTCCCACGTGACACCCTCCAAAATATGCGACTGTGGGCCAGCACTTATCTTGTCCGCACGACGATTATCTTTAATCTGTACACGTCATGTATATATTATAAGTTTGAAAAAAATAAAAAAAAATCATATTTTATGTCATTTATGATATTATATTTATAATAGAAAAAAAAACACCACATACCTGCTGCTGTAGTTGCTTAAACTCCTTGGGATTGGTGTTTTTGGGTACAAACTGGAGCGTGTCAATTTTGACTGGAGTACCAGAATGAGCTGGAGAACCATCTTGAACCCACTGTTGTTTTTCATTTTCCAAAATTATATATTTCGACATATATTTTGCCATTTTTTTTTGTAGAATCGTCGATTACCGTGTAGGGAAAAGAAAAGAACGAATTAGTAAAATGTTGCCAGTTCTATGTTAAAAGCAAAGGAATGGGTTAGTAATAGTAAAGACGAGGAAAAAATAGTGCGAAAAAGCGTTTCCATCCTGGTATCATCGAGCATGTACAGTATATATTTTTTTTAATTAATAACAAAAAAAAATGCATTCAGTGTAAAGTATTCCCATGCAAAGCCATAAACTAAATCTGCATTCAATTTAAAAAAAACAGCTATTTCATTGCATTTAAAATGACTGTATGATAAGACATTCACAACATAGATGACCCAAGAGTTGCAAAGGAAAAAAAAAACAAAAAAAAGGTGCAGGGAAAAGGTTTTTCTTATGGCAACACTTTATCTAATTTTTCTTTTGCCCTACACTGTACAAACTCGATGTTTTTATTGGATAAAATATATTAATTTATTAATTTTATCCACCAGGGTAGTTATGAAATGCTGTTGAATTTTATATGAAGCACCAAAAATTTTTAAAAATTAATCGCTGTGTAAAGAATGTTAATAGAAATAATTATATTTAGATGTGACTGCAATGACCGCAATGGACGTTTTAGAGGACTTGGGTAGTTGACTTATAAAATATAGATTATAAATATATAATACATAATATGTTGGTACATTAACACACAGCACCATCTAGTTCCATGGTAAGCTACGAGGCTTGTGTTATGGATACCTGATAGTTGATACACTACACATATATAACTTTAAATACATACATATTATAACTATAAGCGCCCATGACTGGAGTACAAACATTCGTGCCCATACACAAATTAATGTCCCCAGCGGGACTCGAACCCGCGAGCGCTGGCAGAGCAAGTAGGGTCACTACAAACTGGGCCAAACGTGTCTTCAAGATATACACTAAATGAAATTAAAAAAAAACTATTTTCTTAGATATTTGAAACAAACGGCAATATTTAAATAAACTGTGTCTTTATCTTAGAAAAAAAAAACACCTAAAAAGTAACGATACAGTAAGTTTGACAAAAAAATCATACTTCAATATTTTCATATAATTCCATAAAATAAAATGTTTTTTTTTTGATAAAAAAATGTCAAGTACCCAATAAAGCTATAAGTAATACCCAGAACCTATAAAAGTAAGAAAAAGATGTTAAAAAAAAAGAAAATGGCGGCTCAATTTACCTCTTCGTTGTTAGCGTCCACCCACTGCAAAACATTATTGTATTAGTCACAATTAAAAAAAAACACAGCAATTAGTTAAAAAAATATCAAACAACAAAAAAAATTCAATAGCATTTCGTGTGTGACAGAAAAAAATAGATGTTACTTTTTTAAATATATCTTTAATAATTATTTTATAAGCACTAAACCATATGAAAGCGAGTTTTTTTAATGATTTTTGGCAAAAACTGTTTTTATAATTTTTTCGCTGACACTAGAAATGATATTACAATAATATTTTTTATCTATTTTTGAAGAATATTTAAAAAAATCGCTGGGCCAAGTTTTTGCCAAACCTAAAAATTTTCTGAATACACACAAATAGTCAAATTAATATTAATATAAATATGTAAAATACCATTACTTATGTCTAACACGATGTACTGACAGTAAAAAAAAAACATGTAGAAAAAGAGTCGGATAATTTGCGCGATTGCGAAAAAAATACCTATTTTTATTTTTTATTATAAGGAATGTTTCAAAGAGAATATATAACTAGCTATTACACGCGGATTTGTCTATTCTGATACAATAAAAATATAAGAACCGACAAAAAATCGTGATATTTGCCTCTTATATGTAAATTAATGGAGAATTTTTTTTCTACAGTAATGTTGACAAAACTATTTTTAGTTAAACTAAAAAAAATGTTTTAAACATAGCTTTTATGATAAATCAATCAATCCTTAATATTTGAAATTGTGGAAAAAATTTTTTCACTTTTTTTGAATTAAAAAAAAAATAATCGATGTACATTCGCAACCCACAAATAGCTCTAGACTAATAAAGATGACATTGAATTAACAATATTTAAAAGGACTCTACAAATTATATATTTTTTTTTCTTTTTTCTTTTTTTTTAATAAATGCCATTTATTTTTAGCGATATAATATATTCTACCTTTCTAAGAACTAATATAATGTTCTATTTTAAATATTTGAATCGTTATTTAACTAAAATTTAAATTTGTTTTAAATATATAAAAAAAACTGTAAAAAGACATTAAAAAAAATATCAAAACTTACAAACATGTGTTTCTTTTTTAAATTTTCCTTTTTCAATAAATATAAAAAAAAAACTATAAAAAACTCACGTTATCTATATATTATATACATATATAATAAAATGCAATTTTGACTCTTTATAATATATGTATACTCTCAAAGTGTTTTCTTGAAAAAAATATAATTAATAACGTAACATCAAGAATTTTTTTTTAAATAAAATTTATTATCTATGCCTACGTTCGTTTTTTTTAAAGAGCACACAATTTGTAATCTATGGAACATTATAAACATTAGGAATTTATATCCCAAACGACCTATTTCTATTATTTTTTGGTATTATTACAAAAAATCTCAAGCATCAAGCAAAAGATCAACACACATGTTAGTCCTTAGATTACGTAAAAAAAAAGAAGTTTACACCTTCGACTTAGTTAACATTATTAGTTATATATAGAAAAAAAAATTAGAAAAAAAAACCAAACATTGGATTTCTCAAATGAAAAAAAATCGACAGTAATATTTAAACAGATATACACAAAAAAAAGAGAAATCCTATTGCAACGGTTTCAAAGATAACCCCCAAAGGCCTGGGTCTAACCCCCCTAATTTCCTCCCAAAAATTAACCAAAAAAATACAACCACCCGTTAGACCCAGGGGTCTAATGCACCGTAAACCCTTACTCGGCTTCAACCCTCAAGTATTCTACCTTGGTGATCTTCTTGGGGTCACTGGTACCGGTCTCCAAGACCTCAACTTTCTGGTACACGTTGGGCGAGTTCAGCCAGCGGGTGCGCTCCCCGGCTTTGCCTGTGCCTTTCTTCCATAATCTGCGAAATAAATGAAAAATATTAAACAAAAATATTACTAGCATGAGTGACTAATAGTAGTTTAGAATTAGATTAAAACCGTACTCGTAAGTTTTATTTCCATACAAACGTTTTAACATACTAGCGACACACCCTCGCTTCGCTCGGATTCGTCCCTAGCTTGCTTCCCCATATAATCTTTCATGTCCATTCTCACCCCCTTAAGGAATGATTTTCGGAATAAAATTATTTCACTCACTAACTTTTCATATCATGAGATTTAAAAAAAAATATTTAAGTAAAATATTTTGTTTCTTTTTAATTTTCTTCTGTACAAAACTTGTCCTGACAATATAACTATAAATAACAAACACAAAAAAAAATATATATAAATAACAAACACAAAAAAAAAGAATTGTCCGATTTGGTGCAGTCGATCGGAAGTTATGCGCGTACATACATTTTGGTGATTCATTTTTATTTATATAGCGGCTTCGCCCGCGTCCAAACTTCCGATCGCTAACAAAATTCATAGATCGCCCGCTGGGCTAATCTGAAGATTACCTGAAAATTTCATCAAAATCCTACTAGACCACAGAGGCAGTTTACTGAACTGAACTGTAATATACAAGACTCATCAAACGAGTCCAAACTCTAAGGCTTCACTAGAAGCCATTGAAGAGTACCACTGTCCACCTCCTGGCTCCACATCATCAGATCAGACAATCAACCCACTCACCCTTGCCTGTACAGCTCTTCCTCTTCGAGAAGATATCCAAGAGAGGACACGGCTGGTGGCACCTCCACGTCGTTCTTGGGCTTGGGCACGTCATTCTGTTGGGAAAATTTAGATTTTTACTTAAAAGGTAAAAATATACAAAAACAAAAACGGTATCGGTCAACCAATTTCAAAAATATTTAAAAGTAAAGTAAAAGGATAATATTTTTTTCAAATTTATATATGGCCTCCACATTAACACATCCATAAATAAAGCCGGTCAAGTGCGAGTTGGACTCGCACACGAAAGGTACCATCCGCCGCCCCGCGCCGTATCGATTCTGTATTAAATTTGCATGGCGGCCATTTTGAAATACGCCATCTTGGATATTTATTGTTAATTGTTATTATAGTGGCAATAGAAACACATACTTCGTAAAAAAATCTACTGTCTATCTTATAACGGTTCATAAAATACAGCCCGCTGACAGACAGACAGACGGATAGCAGAAGCTTAGTAATAGGGTTCCGTTGGTACCCTTAGGGTACGGAACCCTAAAAATAAAAGTATTTGATGTTTTTTTTTGATGATTGATATATTCCCTCCAATCCCAAGGGACATTAACGCTAAGAAAAAAAATAAAAATATACAGTAGACGCGGAAAGCAAAATACAGTGCCCAAAACTTATATAAACCGGTATCGGCGTCGCTGTTGTTGAATTTAGTATTGCCGCAATTTTTTAGGTAAAAATAATGGCATAGCCCAAATTTACATGGAGTAAACAAACAAACACATTTTTATACCTACTAACATTATAAATGCAAAAATTATGAGAATGTATGGATGTTTGTTACTCTTTCACGCAAAAACTACAGAACGGATTTTAATGCAACTTTACAATAATATAGCTAGCATACATCAGAATAACACAGGATACTTTTTTATCCCGGAAAAATGTACTGTTCCCGTGGGATAGATTTGTTTTTGTGTAAGCGATGAACCGTCCTCCAAACCTCCAAAAAACTAACCTTGATAAGAGGGTGTCTATAGATGTATCCAGTACGGAAACCAGCATTATCCAGCATTCGCATCAGAGCCTCAAACTCTTCGCCTCCAACACGCCACTTGTTGGCGTCAGACGGCGGCTTGCGGGAAGACTCGAACATCTGGAATGTAGATATAGAGAGAGAGAGAGAGAGAGTGAGAGAATGAAAAAGAAAACCGGTCAAGTGCGAGTCTGACTCGCACACCCGAGGGTTCCGTAGCATGAAACATTTAATTTTTTTTTTAAAGTAACAAAAATAATCTAACGTAACACTTATTTGGGACATTATTTTTATTTAAGAAAAAATAACATAATAATAATATTTGTGTATCTCGAGCGAATCAACACCTGGCTCGAATGACGTTTAGGCACTGTCCATGTACAGTGTGCAAAAAAGTGTTTGTTTCCATTTCACTTTCTCGTACGAAAACGAATAATATATAATTTTTTAAATTTATCTACCTATACATATAATAAAATTGTAACTAAGCCGAATCTATACATTAAATATTTTTTGGAAAATCTTATTGAGATAGACATTACTATTTACTATCGATACAGAGGTCAAATCTATAGTTTTTGGAATTTTTGTCTGTCTGTCTGTTACCGCATCACGAAAAAACCACTGGAGAGATTTTGATGAAATTTGGTATGATGATAGCTGGTTATTCGGGTCAACATCTATGATACTTTTTACCGCGAGAAAATGTCTTATTTCTGAGAAAAAAAAAACAAAAACTGCAAAGTTTGAGTATACTGATATGTAAAACCTAAGAATTTTGTTGTAGTTGTCATACAATTTATATGGAAATAAAACAATAATAAATAGTTTAAATAGTTTTCTTCACAGTAAAACAAATGGTGATCATGTTAGAAATGATTCGCACATGAAAATATCAGAGATGCGAGACCCGAGATTTGAACCCGCTTCACTCGATGTCACAAGTGAACACGTAACCACTGGGCTACCACTGCCTTTACTATACATATAATACGTAAATGCTAATTAATTTGAAATCATTACCACGAATTCGAAATCACACAAGTATAATTATGACGACACATTTGGTTCAGTTTGTAGTGAACTGGCTATGTCAGAGGTCGCGAGTTCGAGCCCCGCTGAGGGCATTCATTTGTGTAATGAACACGAATTTTGTACTCTAGTCATAGGTGTTTATATTTATAATATGTATGTATTTAAAGTTATATACGAGTATGTGTAGTGAATCAACTATCTGGTATTCATAACACAAGCCTCGTAGCTTACCATGGAACTAGATGGCGCTGCTGTATGTTAATGTCCCAATATACTTATTTATTTATTATTCATTTCCAACCCACCTGTCGTCTGGTCTCCTCATCCAGGATGTACAGCTCATCCAGCGGCAAGGATGCCAGGCGGAGCTGCACCTCACACGCCGCGTTCAGGTTCTTGGCCTGGAAGAAGGCTTCCTCCAGGGTGGCTCCGCAGCAGAGGGCTCCACCGCCGCTCAGCATCAGCACCTTGGCGTGAGGACCCAGGGCGCGCACCAGCTTGTCTCGTTCCTCATTGTCGAGGGTACCTGGTTTGATATGTTAATATGGAAGTGATTAGCGGAGTATACTTAATTGTTATTCAAATCCTTCCCAGTCTTTTCAGAGTGACAGCGTAACAAAGACACAAGCATTTAATAGTAGTCCGATGTATGTCGATGGATAAATTTATTTTAATAGCACCTATATAAAAAAAAACTATCCCACGGGAAGCGTACACTTTTCCGGGATAGAAAGTAACCTATGTGCTATTCCAGACTATAATCTATCTCTGTGCCAAATTTCATCCAGATCCGTTCAGCAGTTCTAGCATGATTGTGTTAAAAACATCCAAACATATTAACTCATATGCTTTATTCTCTTAATAACACAGGTATGTAAAAGTTAGTATTTGTATGTATGTTTGTTACTCATTTATGTTGTATCTAATGGCCGGACGGATTTTGTACATAAAAATGACAATATACTGGAATAAAACAATACCATAGCTGTAACTTGCCACGAGACGGCATCAAAATTCCAAATGCAAAATTGCCATTTCTAAAAAATCAATAGTATTTCTTTTAAAACCAATGGGTAATCGCCTGCTATATAATATATATTTATACGTATTTTGATGTACAGCTCTTTCCCTTCTTTACCTACCACATTTACTCCTAAACCACACTGCCGACCCTACCGCTCCAAACCGCTCCCATTTTTTACTCACCGGCCAGAGAAGCTAGCTCAATTGGATTGCCGAGCACTAGTGACTCCTCCACACCACGACAAGGTGAACGCACGCTTCCCCTTTTTAGCCAACTGTTAACCAACCCCCTGTCCCTGGACCACCCACCACTCACCGTTGGGCACGCGGTGGTAGGCCACGTCGCCGAGCAGCGCGGCCTCGCTGCACAGCGGCAGCAGGCCGCGGCGCGTGGCGGACACGGCCAGCGCGCCGGCCGAGCGCACGTGCAGCACGCAGCGCACGTCCGGCCGCGCCGCGTGCACCGACGCGTGCAGCGAGAAACCTGGCGGGTGATACATGGTATATTTGTATATTAAATAACTCTATACATATAATAAAAGTGTAACTAAGCCGAATCTGTACATTAAATATTTGCGAATCTACAGTTTTTAGAATTTTTGTCTCTGTCTGTTACCGCATCACGAAAAAACCACTAGACAGATTTTGATGAAATTTGGTATGATGATAGCTGGTTATCCGGGTCAACATAAAGGATACCTTTTACTGCGGAAAAATATCTCATTTCTGAGCAAAAATACAAAAACTGCATTTTTAGAGTATATTAATATGTAAAACCTAAGAATTTGGTTTTTGGTCATCTGTACGCGGGCAAAGCTAGTAAATAATAAAACTATAACTTTTGAGGAAGCAAAACTCTGTAATAGTTTGCCGAAAGAAATAAAATATTCTAAAACTTTCGATAGCTTTAAGTCTAGGTTATATAATTAACATATTCTTTCTAATTAATGTTCTTAGTTCTATTGATCAAGTGTCATAATTTCTCATGTAAAAGACTTGTTCGTAATGAGAAGATCTTTTTAATTTGGCTTAAAAACAAAAAAAAAATTAAAAACTTAAATAAATACACCTATGATTGTCAACCTTGCGGCTTGACCACAATACTTATGCCCGAGCGTGCGAAATCATCGACCATATTTTTTTGTGAAATAATGCGAAAGAAAACCGCATGAAAACTGGAAAACACGCGTTTTCCCAGACATAAGAATAATCTATATAGATTTTTCGCCTCCTAAAATCCCCACACACCACACACCAAATTTCAACGAAATCGTTAGAGCCGTATCCGAGATCACCTATATATATGTATATATATAAACAAATAAATATACAAGAATTGCTCGTTTAAAGGTACATATTAGATAGATATTTGTAATCACGTTCTCAAAAACGGCTCTAACGATTTCGATTGAAATTTGCAATGTGACGGTTTGCGGGAGCGAAAAACCGATCTAGCCTAGATCTCATAACTGAGAAAATTTAGTTTCTCCGTATTTTCACACAAAAAGATTTTCCCGGGCAATATGATTCGTAACTTCTCACCGCCGCCGCCACCGTCTAAATAGCCTAAATGTTAAATCGTTTGTCACGTGGTATGGACAGCAAAAAAAATATGTTGGTACATTAACACACAGCACCATCTAGTTCCATGGTAAGCTACGGAGCCTGTAAAAAAAGTACTACCTTCAACATTGACAGGGAAGTTGGTGGTCCCCTGGTCCTGAACAACCCCCTGCATGTCGACCTTGACCAGCGACGAGGCGGTCACTTCGTGGGGCAAGAGACCGCGCGGGGTGGTCAGGACCTGTTCCACGGCCGTGTTCAGGCGAGCGGTTATCTGACCACTTATACCGGCTGTAAGGGACAAAATGGAAATATCATGTAAACTGAAAGAATAATACGGTTAGATCTATACTAATATTATAAAGAAGCAGAATTTATTTCGATTCCTGAAGCATTCCAATAATCGGGAACCAAAAATCAAAATATTTTAAAAGTATCCGAAAAAATAGTTTTATTTGAAATTCCAAGATTAAATTTTTATTATACAGTTAAAATATTACTACTTGGAAAAACTAAATGCGTAAGTTCGTGAATTGTGTTTGTCTGTTTCTCCTTGCTGAAATGTCTAAACGGTTTTGAATAAAATATACAGACAGACCATAGTCTGCCTGTATCATAATGTCATAACCTGGAGTAGCTTGTAGTAGCTGGACTAGCTGGCTTCAGCTACACATCCAAAAAGAGAGATATTTAGCACTAGCAACTCACCCTCGCTTCGCTAGGGTTCATCCCTAGCGAAAACAAAAACAAATCTATCCCACGGGATCCGTACATTCTTTCGCGAGATAAAAACTAACCTATGTGCTATTCCACACTATAATCTATCTCTATGCCAAATTTCATCCGATTCGATCCGTTCACCTGTTCTGGCGTGAAAAAGTAACAAACATACATCCAAACTTTCGTATTTATAATATTAATGGGATAATGGGATCCTGTAAAACTCTAGCGAAGCAAGGATAAGTTACTAATATTACAATAAAACCTTACTTTGAGTCCACCCGAACAGATCGACCAAGCGGTAGACCGCAGCCAACTTGCAACGGAGAATTTTCTCGCCCTTCTCGTAGCCGACGCCTTCTATACCGCGGATGTCGTTGATTGGAAGCACACAACTCGGACCCTGAGGATCGGTAGAAAACCGTTAAGAATTTTAGAAATGGCAATATTTCAATCAATCAGCCAAACCGTACTTGGTCAGCTTGGTGGACTATGGCCTGATCCCCCTCGTATTGAAGGAAGGCCCACGCCCAGCAGTGGGACGTTAAATAGAGCTGAATAGATAGATAGAATTTTTCTGGAACTCATTAGGCCGAAATGTATCTGAAGGAGGTCATATACAATTTAAAAAAAATCACCTTGATTCCGTAAAAAATCTAGATATTATAGTAGAAGGAACTTTTTAACATAATATACTAATATAAAATCTGCAATTTACTAAAAAAATTATAACTTTTTAGCCACAAAACGTACACTTCAAAGTAATATTCCATTATATATACCACTCTCACGCAGTCTGAAGCGCTTATTAAGGCAGTTTTTTTTAAATTTAATTTAGATTCTTTATAAACCGTTCTTAACCTAAATATATCATTTCGAACAAAAGATGAATTTGGACTCTAAAAACATACCCTAAGGCTCCCAGTATGGAGACGTCCACCAACCATCTCCCTGATCCTCTGCAGGAGTGGAGCATCATTGCCCTCGTGCAGCTGCTGGTCCAGTACCCGCTCCAACTCCTCGCGGAACAGCTTGGACGACATGAGCGCTTCCACACGTTTCCTGCGCTCCATTTCGCGAACATCCTGAAACATCAAACAGGATTTTATTATACACAAGGTTAATATTAACTCTCTTAGAATTACGCTAATATTTGACTTAATATTATAAATGTGAAAATGTGTTTGTTTATTTGTCCTTTTTTCACGTGATTTGTTGCGTGGAGATAGTTGGAGAGTGAGTGACATAGGCTACTTTTTACCGCGGGAAAACACGTTATAATACAACTCACAACAACTCATCATATTATATATATATATATATATATATATATATATATATATATATATAAATATATATATATATATATATATATATATATATATATATAGTCTATGTATTCCATACTAACCATCAAATCGTACCTAGGGACGAACCCGAGCGAAGCCGACGATTAGTCGCCAGTACTTCATTGTAGTATAGATTATTCGTAAAAAAAAAATTAAATGACAGATACATTCCCATGAGACAAGCTAGTAATCTCTTCATGTCCTATAACATCTAGATCGTCTTGCAATTTGTTTAATGGGCGGAAGAATTTATGAACGCAATAATTCATTGAGAGTTCTTACTATGTATTGAACTTCATCACAGACGGTTAAGTAAAACGTGTACCTAAACCTAATCCTATGTCGTTATTTAGACTGCAACTTTTTATCTCGTTACCTAAAGTACTTTCTACTGGAAGTATTTTAGGTAACGAGATAACCCGTGAGGTCTGTAAAGGTCTCCGAGATCACAAATTGTAAATAATGAATCATTCGTTTTACCATGCTTTATGCTATTACCATACATTTAAATAGTACAAAAACCTCTGTTCATAACTAAATGTAAGCAAGAAAAAACAACTTAATAACAAGAATCAAGGATAAATACATATTTATCTTTATAAATATATATCTATACATATAATAAAATTGTAACTAAGCCGAATCTGTACATTAAATATTTTTTGGAAAATCTTATTGAAACAAACATTATTATCGATAGAGAGTTTTTAGAATTTTTGTCTGTCTGTTACCGCATCACAGAAAAACCACTGGAGGGATTTTGATGAAATTTGGTACGATGATGGCTGGTTATCCGGGTCAACATATAGGATACTTTTTACCGCGGGAAAATATCTCATTTCTGAGAAAAAATACAAAAACTGCATTGTAAGAGTACCTATACTAATATGTAAAACCTAAGAATTCGGTTTTTGGTCATGTGAACGCGGGCGGAGCCGCAGGCAATGCTAGTTGTATATATTTTGGTCAGAGTAATAAATGTGTAGAGCATTAATAATAAAATAATTTGTTATTTGATGTGTGTATTGTTTACATTATCAATGGGAAGTCTCAACAGACTCACTGCTAATAATAAATTTAAGTATTAGCCAAGGCTCCTTGGTTTAGATTGGTCAGGTGGTGGTAAGTGGTAACTCAGTGGTAACGCACTTGCTTGGGAAACCGAGTGAAGCGAGTTCAAATCCCGGGTCTCGCATGTTTTGATGTGCGAATATTTTTTAAAGATGATCACCACTCGTCTTACGGTGAAGGAAAACCACCAGCAACATGCAAATAACATATAACAAATAAGCAAATAACCAGCTATCATCATACTAAATTTCATCAAAATCTGTTCTGTGGTTTTCTCGTGATGCGGTCACAGACAGACAGACAGACATATAGACGGTCAAAAATTTCTAAAAACTATAATTTCAATAAGATTTTCCAAAAAATATTTAATGTATAATATTCAACTCAGAATTTTATTATATACTAGCGACTCACCCTCGCTTCGCTCGTGTTCGTCCAATACAAACTTTGATTCCCCATACCAACTTTCATCCCCATTTTCACTCCCTTAAGGGATGATTTCCGAGATAAAAAGTATTCTATGTCCTTCCTAGGTTTGCAAACTATCTTCTTACCAAATTTCATCTAAATCGCTACAGTAGATCCAGAGATTACCCCCTACAACGTCACAAACTCAAAAACTTTATCTCTTTATAATATTATAGTATAGATGTATAGATTACCAAATATCCTGCCATGGTGACAACCTGACATCATTAGATGATAACTATTAAAGAAAAATGCTACTCACAGCATCAATATCGGCGGGACGTTGCTTCAATCTCTCCTCCTCTTCAGCAGACAAGGGCCCAGTGCCGTTTGGCAGAGTCTCCGTGTCTGTATCCGCCATGTTGCTTTTTTACTTCTGCTGTGGACAAACAAAAGATATGTTTAATATATAATAATCTTTAAATTTTTCCGCCAAACCGCACTTGGCTAGCGTGATGGACTATGGCCTGATCCCCATCATATTGAAATGGGAGGCCAGTACCCAGCAGTGGGACTTTAAAAAGGGCTCCGTACGTTGTTTAAAATAACATCTCTATATACATGTATAAAATTCATGTACTCCTAAAAGGCTTGACCGATTTTGATGATTTCTTGCGAAGTTATGGGATGATTCTTAGTTACACTTGGACCCAGTAGGTGACGCTATTATAAAAACCCATTTTTTTATTTTCTGGTCCGTGGCAGGATAACATAGTCGCGTCTAAGCCACGCAACAGATATTCATACGGTTTTCACCAATAGAAAGAGAGAAACGACGTATATATGTAATACATATTATGTATATAACATTTGTATATAACAAAATTTGTAAATATTTTGTACAAAATGACTGAGCCTAGAATACATAGCTGGCTAAAACTTTAGAGATACATCAAAACAATGTATTATAAAATTGTAAGTCTTAAAAAGATCTACAGAAAAGTCCACTATAGCAAATATCTTATAAGATACGCTTACCATACCTAACAATTTTTAAGTACATATATATATACTAGCGTTTGATTCCCAATACAAACTTTCATCCCTATTTTCACCGCCTTAAACGACGATTTTTGGGATAAAAAGAATCCCATGTCCTTCGCAGAGTCTCAAACTATCTTTTTACCAAATTTCATCTAAATCTGTTCAGTAGAACCAGATATTACCCCCTACAATGTCACAAACTTACAAACTTTACCTCTTTATAATATTAGTATAGATAACGTAATCTATATATACTATAACTAGCGGACCCGACAGACGTTGTCCTGTCTACACGTCTTTAATTTGAAAATTTCAAACTTTTTTTAATAATTTTTTTGATGAAAATTATTATTCAAATTGTGAATCTAAACCATTCCCAGATCCCCTTGAACACACACAAAAAATTTCATCAAAATCGGTCCAGTCGTTTGAGAGAAGTTCAGTGACATACACACTCACAGAAGAATTATATATATAAAGATATAATTCTAACAACAATTACTGTTATGCAATAATTATTACATATACCCACATGATCTAGTTATACTTTCGCAAGCCCCCAATCGTGGGAAGGACGAGACGGACACAATAAGAATGTTAGATTTATAATTTGACATTACGAAATGCTGTGGGGAAAAAAAATAGAAGAAACTTTCACTGGCATATAATAATAATACACGTCAAAACCTCCAACTATATTTAAGTCGTTTTAGAAAAAATCCGGGCCGGGGTCGAAGGAGATCTGGCATGTCAAATCAAATTATTTTATTCAGCATTAAATTATTACAATTTTTTACTAAACGTCATGAGTCTACTACCTACATGGAGGGAGTAAAGGAAAAGGGGCGGGGGGAGGGGGCGTTATAGAATAGTAAATAACCCCATACAAAAAAAAACTGTAATACAAAAAAAGTAATATGTTATTTTTTTTTATTTTTTTTTTTAAAATTGCGATATTATAATGAAAGTTATGTAGAAATGACTAAATTCGTCAATTCTTAAATGTTTTCAAATAAAAATTCCTATACAAACCAAAAAATTAAATTATTTTAAAAATCTGTAGGCCAACTCAAAATGTTGAGTAGAATTTTTTTCATTTCAAAAAAAAAATCTTTTTTATAACCTACAAATTATACTCCCAAGCTAAGAAAAAAATTTTTTTTTCGCTCCACCCTAGTATTATACCCTACGAATCACTTCGGATTTGATAGATCGCCCAATTTTACCCAGCGTTTGTGTTTTTTACACACCAAAGAGGCCCTGAATTTATTCTGCATATTTATACAGCATTCATATGGTAAAATAATCAAATTTAACTATAGAAAATGTTTCTTACAAAAAAATTAAACTGCTCTGAAAGCTGAAACCATGTACCCACATATATTTTTTTTACTCTGTATAGCTAATTTAATATATATAAATATCTCGTGTCACGGTGTTTGTGGCTCGACCGATTTTAATGATTTTTTTGTATATTTGGTAGGTATGAGGATAAGTCTTAAAGTATTTATCACCCTCTTACCCCCACTTTCCATTTTTTAATCGCCATTTTTGTATGAACAATATTATATAAATACATAGCGACGAACATTGTATAATAAAAGCTAGAGTTTTTTTTGTAAATTGAACGTAGGCGTAGCCGCGGGTTTTGCTAGTTATATATAATTATATGTATATATTGCTTCTCCATACAAAATTTCATCCCTATTTTCACCCCCTTAAGGGATGATTTCTAGGATAAAAAGTATCCTATGTCTTTCCCAGGGTCTCAAACTATCTTACCAAATTTCATCTAAATCGGTTCAGTAGATACAGAGATTACCCCCTACAACGTCACAAACTCACAAACTTTACCTCTTTATAACATTAGTATAAAAGTATAGATAATAATGTAGCCAACACAATATGATACAACATATCTTGCAAAACCACCTTCACGCCACTTACGAAAGTTTCAATCGCTTGGGATCTAAACGTGGTTTTTGTATAAAAACGAAACAACTATTATAATTTAGGAGTCCACGGCTATCAAATATATTAAAAGTGGAACAGGTTCGATTTTCGCTATATAACAAACCAATTTCAAAAATTTTATACAACACTAGCGACTCACCCTCGCTCCGCTCGGGTTCGTATCTACTTACGTTTTAACGTTCAGTATAGATTTCTCAGAAATGAGATATTTTCCCGCAATAAAAAGTATCCTATATGTTGACCCGGATAACCATACAAATTTCGCGAAATTCCCTTCAGTGCTTTTTCTGTGATGCGGTATCAGACAGACAGACAAACAAAAATTCTAAAAACTATAGATTCGGCCTCTGTATCGATAATAATGTTAATGTACAGATTCGGTTTGGTTACAATATTATTATATGTATAGATTATTAGATTTTTTTACTGAACGTCACGACCTACCTACCTGCCTGCCATCAGTTCGGAAAAAAGAAGCCTCTGTCCTGAGAAGAACTGGCTAAAGAAAATCAGAGGAACTAACTCATGTTTAACTCAACTTTTTAACTTTTTTTTAAAGTACATAATAATTTACTACAATTCTCCAACATTGTTTGATACTACTTCTTTCTATACATATAATAAAATTCTGAGTCGAATCTGTACATTAAATATTTTTTGGAAAATCTTATTGAAATAGTCATTATAATCGATACAGACAGAGGCCGAATTTATAGTTTTTAGAATTTTTGTCTGTCTGTCTGTTACCGCATCACGAGAAAACCACTGGACAGATTTTGATCAAATTTGGTATTATGATAGCTGGCTATCCAGGTCAACGTATAGGATACTTGTTACTGCGGGAAAATATCCGATTTGAAATCTATACTTACTTAAAAACCGGTATGTATTAAAAACTTAATACATAATTACTGTTCATGATCATTTTACTTATTGATATAAGTTATAATAGAAGCCATATAAAGGTTTTGACCTACTTATTGGACACGCGATATTTTTACCGAATTGTGGCTTTATGTAGGCTTTTTATTTAATATATATATATATATATATATATATATATAGTTATAGATATAGATTGGGAAGTCTAAAACCTTAAGTCTCTCCCGTGACCATGATTGCTGTAAACTGTATAGCATACGCAATTAAAAAATCCGAAAAAAAACATCAAAGCAAAACCGCGAAAAAAAAAGTCTATAAAAAATATAAAATTTTATCTAAAATGTACATTTTTTTCTACATTTACATGTCAAAACAAAATGCCTCTATTTGTGTTTTGACTAGAATCATACGGAACCCTATCACCTCGCACAGATCCCCACTTGACCGATAGTTTTTTTATTGCGCAACAACTCGAACCTATGATTACCTACGTTTCAACACCCACGTACGTGTGGAGTAATGTACTTTCAAGCTTTTCATTGTTTCTTCTGAATCATGAGTACATTATGGACCAGAGGTTACGCAAAAGTATCTACATCTATACTAATATACTAATAATATTATAAACAGGCTGAGTTTGTTTGTATGTTAGAGTAAGGCTATATATCATCTATACTAATATTATAAAGAGGTAAAGTTTGTGAGTTTGTGACGTTGTAGGGGGTAATCTCTGGATCTACTGAACCGATTAAGATGAAATTTGGTAAGAAGATAGTTCCAGATGCTGGAAAGGACATAGGATACTTTTTAACCCGGAAATCATCCCTTAAGGACTTGAAAATGGGGATGAAAGTTTGTATGGGAAATCAAGCCAGGGACGAACTCAAGCCAAGCGAGGGTGCGTTTTAGATACATAAAGACTGATTGATAATCATTTATAATCTTTAGCAAACACTATATTATCTATATACTGTATAATATACAATATACATACATACATACATACACATGAACGTACAAAACATTACCCTTCTATTGGGGAAGTCGGACAAAAACTATAAGCCGCCCGTCTAAATGCGTACATAAGTAACATATCCACTTCTTCCCCAATTCCGTGTCTCGGAGAGCACGTAAAGCCGTCGGTCCTGCGCCTTAACTCTCACCGGTCGTGTCGAGTGGTCGTCCCACCGGAGTATGAGAGTGACAGGAATAGAGAGTGCACGTTGTGTCTGCGCGCACACTTGAGCACTATAATATCTCCTGCGCAGTTGGCTAGTCTCAATGAGATTGGCCGCCGTGGCCGGAATCGGCTAGGAGAACATCACATCATCACATCTTCCCCAAACCGTAAACCCCCGTTATATGTCAAAACATCGTTAGTCATTACACAACAAAAAAAAATCATCATGACTATCTACATAATATATAAGTCTTAAAAAAGGCCATAGCGAAATCGCTTACTTATGTATGGCGAAAATACAGGGGATTTCAAATTGCTAGCTTTATTTTCGCCCGAGTAGT